GTCGTCGGATGCTGAGGCGACCAGCTGTCCGTCTCGCGAGAAAACCACCGCGTTGACGTCGTCTGAATGGCCCTTCAGCTCGTACCGACAGGTGCCCGTTGCCGTCTCCCACACTCGCACTGTCCTGTCGTCGGATGCTGAGGCGACCAGCTGTCCGTCTCGCGAGAACACCACCGCATTGACATTGTCTGAATGGCCCTCCAGCACGCTGCGACACGCGTCCCAGTCTCCTTCTCTGTCCGAAAGCATTTCCACCGCTTGTGGGACCTGCTTGACAAACGTCTTCCGGAAAATACTCGTCTCTGGTGCGAAGACAAGCGCTGACGAGTAGACTTGCAAGGGTGCTTCTGCTAGGATCGAACAGAAACGCAGCACAAATCGGTTCGCATTGCGGAGGAAGGCTAAATATGCGTCTCCAGACGGCTACGATGCAAATTAGTTGAGAACAAATACTTATACCATGCAAAATTCCTTACCGCCACCAGCGCCTGCAGTCTTGATAGCAAGCGCACGCATTGGCCTGTCTCCCGCATCAGACTCATCGCTTCGAGCCAGTGCAAAAGGTGCGTCTGAATGAAGACAAGCACTGCGTCTCCGTCGGCGACGCTGCGCTGGCTGTGCTCGAGGTGATCGACCCAGTAGCGGCACGCATACTGCAGCTTAGCCGGTAGGCTGCTAGCCACCATCTCCTCATTTATCTCGCTTCTCCGTGTCCTGGGCTTTGAGAGGTTGCACATGTCTTGTCGAAGGCCGCTAGGCGCAGACACAAGCTCAAAGCAGCGAGACGCCAGCTTCTCGTGTGTGCTCTTCTCGTCTACCCAGAAGCTGTCGTCACCGCATCACTTTCTATTGAGCAGGAAGTCACGGAAAGAATGGTGGTGCAGACGCACTAGGCAGGTCGGATCCTGTGGAACGTCTAGGATAGAGTGCAGCTCATATAGTGTTCGATGAACATCTTCTGCAGGAACGCGGAGTAGCTGTGCTAAGTGAAGGCGCAGAAAGCGGCGATTGCAGAAGCACGATGGCGCCTAGTGTCTCTCTGATTAACGTGTACCATCTTTTCCTTTCCTGCTTTCTGTATCGGCGAGCGGGGCTCTTGAGGACTGTAAGGTATATGCTGTCCAATCGCTTTTCGGGTAGAATCTTGAAGCAATCGTCTGTGCAAGAATCGTCGCTGGATGAACTGTTCTTTGGTGAGTCGCCTGCAAAGGAACTGTCCTTGAGAACAGCGCGCAGTCGGTCAGCAACGAACTGTCCGCCTTCTTGCATGAACCGACAGGCAGTAGCGGCCCAGATAAACGGACCGCTTGCACTTTGCATCAACAGTCTGATGGCCTCTACACCCGGCCAGTCGTCAGCCTAATAACATTCCTTTGCGATGATCCTAAGGTGGTACTCAAGGAAAAGCCCTATGTCGTGGTCGACGATCGACGGCGATATGGCGTGTAGCACAACATCCTTGTGCTCCGCATGTCGAATCGGCACTTCCGGCCTACTTGTCAGCAACACCCGCAGCCGGACACCTGTCAACGACCGCGCCTCGGCCAGCAGCTGCACAATGGTGCGGATGTTGCTGTCGCTGTCGCACTCGCCGAGCGCATCGACAACTATGACGCATGTTTCTGGCTCTGGCTCGTGCAGCTTTGACAGCGGGCGGCAGACGAGGTGCTGCCACTGGTCACGCAGCGACTGGTTGACAATATCGCTACGCTCTGCAACTGCGTCGCTGATGTGCTGCCGCGATGCTCGTCACGAATTTGCCCGCGTGACCAATGTCGCCGCCGCCGCGCGAGAAGAAGAAGCTCGCGGCGAGACGCTGCTTCTCGCAGTACCTGCGCGCAACCGTCCGGGCGATGGTCGACTTGCCCGTGCCCGCCAGCCCGCTCAGCCAGAAGATGCATTGCTTATCTGGCCCGTCCGCCCAGCTGTGTATCTCGCGCAGGAGGTCGACGCGCGTGTCGGGGAAGCAGCCAGGCTCGTGCTGCTTGGCGTACGAGTTGAAGACCGCGTCTTCGGCGCGCGGTAGACGACCGAGGCTGTTCTCGTGCGCTAATGTTGTGTTAGCGTCCCGTGCCTACTCGGAACCCGACTATAGGCCCGCAAGCCGTGGGTGGGGTGGTGCTGCAACCTACCAGAGCCGTTGATGGTACCGGTATTGGCTTGGAGGCTGGAGTAGGCGTTGCCGAAGGCTATCGTGGATGTCGTGGAGGCCATGGCATCGCTGCAGCAGAGCATGCGATGGTGTCTGCGGTGAAGGTGTTCTGCGGCGAAGCGCCTGCTGGGCCTCACTCAGCCTAGCGACCTGCACCCTGGCGACCTCGAGCAGTCAACGTGAGGCCTACGGCTGAGGCCAAGCATGCGTCCGATCGTCGACCCGCTCGTCCCGCCAGCCTCGTCATGGCTTCTGTTTTACGCGTCGACGCACCGCATTGACTGACTTACTCAGGAGTATCCTTCACATCGATTTCTATCGCTAAGTTGCTGTTAGCTACAACCCCAAAACTCAACGTCGTCCAAGTCGTGTGTTGCTGTGAATGTTTCCTGCCTGGATGCTATCTTTACTGTTGCCGAACGCAATGTTCTGTGTGCTTGCAGTCTGCTTAGGTGGAAACTTGTCTACAGACGGTGCAATCGTAAACCGACTCGGTCGACAAGAAGCTAAAGCGTGGAAATAGTTCCCAAAGCTTGATGCGCAGCCAGAATTGAGATACACGAAGGCTCGCAATCTCTTCGTTGGACACCTCAAGAACGGGTGGCAGAGCAGTTCGAACATCTCGCTCGAGTTCAACCAGCCACTCTTTGCTGCAACTTTTGCTCGAACCGTTCCATACTGCGAAGAAGATCTTTATCAGTGGTTCAAACACGGAACCGAGGAGCTGAAGGCCAGGCGCATGGGTGCTGCCGAGTGTGGGACTAGATGATGTGACTTGGAGTGTGATGGGTCGACTTCTCCGTACACCGTGTAAGTGAAGTTTCTGCATGCAAATGGCGATTGATATACTGTTCAGATATAAAGAAGATCCAGAAATTGCAGCTATTCGCCCTTTGGTCGTACCAACTGACTGCATCTCTCTTCAGCATAGTGGAGAGTGTTGTGGCTTCACAAAGATAGATTCTGTGACTGCGTGAGCAGTGTCGGTGGGAGGCTGTGGTCAATGGTTGTATTGCTATCTGTGTTGTTCGGTGATGTTCGTGTACAGGAGCTCTCGGCTCAGAGGTAAGTGCACTTGCCCTCGGGCAGTGCCTTTCTCAATAGAATATCATGTGACTTAAGCCACGTAGTTACAGAATCAGCCCTGTTCGTAACCTCCAAGTCCAGCATAGGCACCGTATAGGAAGAATGTACGCCCTCCTTGTCTCCTTGGTGAATCGTAAGCGCACGTCAAGTTCACCGACAAGCAGCCTGAGCAGAGCTGGTGCCCGTTGCATTTGACCTTTCGGCGCCGGGAAGCATCACAGGCTTTTGGAATTACTTTCCTCGTGGACGCCATTTGTATTGTCGGGATTCGTCTCGATGGCGGCTATACATTTCATAGATGCCACTGGCAGAGGAACACTCATGGATCAACAAAGTTCACGTGATGTCTGCAGGGATATCAAGGATCGAGTCTTCGTCGGGTATTCTGAGATTGGAATGATGGAACTTTGTGCCAATTATGATCATTCATGATGCTCGAGCGATACTTCTTCAATCGTTGTGGCGTGGCTGCCAAAACGCGCTAGCGTCCGTTTACTCTTTTCACTCAGGGTTCGCAACCTCCTTCCCTTCCACCTTCTCAACGCCGATACCACGGCCGTAAGGGTCTACTTGCGTGCGCGCAAACTTTCTCGCGCTGACCTTGCCCTCGAACAATGCGTCAAGCTCGGCATACGTCCTGCCCTTCGGTTCTGGCAATCTGAAGTACACCCACACGACCACGCAGCCGCAGGTGCCAGCCCAGAAGTATGCCGTCTTTGCTCCCCAGGCCCAACCACCACTGCCGAGCTGATAGTTCGTCAGGACGTTCACAACAATGTTCGACGTGTTGTACAGCGCTCGAGCAAGGTTGATCGTCTTCGATTTCAGTCGCGTTGATGGCATCTCGGCGACGATCGAGTATGTGACCGGGCCAATCGTGAAGTCGTAAATAAAGACGAACACGATGAGAACGGCACCGATAGCCCAGTTTGAAGCATCGTTCCCGGCAAACGAGCACGAGCCGACGATGATCAGAAGCACAAACAATGTGCAAGCTCCTGAGAAGTGAATCGTGCGACGACCGAGCTTTTGCATGAGGAACCATGAGCCCATCGTACCAATCAGACCCAGTGCGAGGGAGACCATCGACATGTTGAACGACTGTATGGTAGGTAGTCCGGCTTGTTGCATGAAGTATGCGCTGTAGATGGTCAGTCGCTGATCCCTGACAGAAACCGGGATCGAACTCACAAATAACCCATAATATTGGTACCGCAAATGGTTTGAGCGATCCAGGCAAAACACACAATCTCCGTTCATCGAAGATCGGTGCCCCTGAACAGGTCTCTCCATCTTGTACCTTCCGTCATATTCTTTTCCATCTCGTTTGTGTGTTCAATCATCGCAATCGTTTCGTCAGGGTTGAAGTTCAGATCACTCTCCGGCGAAGTGAGGCGGAGCAGCGCGGCTTTGGCACCTGCCTTGTCTCCTCAACGGACATGCCACCATGGTGACTCAGGAGCAAGGGCGACTCCAATCGCAATTGGAAGCGGCCAGATCCACTGGATCGCAAATGGGATTCTGTATGCCCATTGGTCTTCGCGCAAGACGCAAGCTCGATTGACACCGGCAGCAATGAACTGACCCATAACCCAACACTTGACCAAAGTCAGTGAAAAGGTTGTGCAATCCGCAGGGCACACTCACATGTTTACGAAGGTCGTCAGGATCGGTCGCAACTGCACGGGTGCAACCTCGGAGGCATACTGAGTTGTCAAAGTCTGGAACCTGTCTCATATAAGTGCTCAATTCTTGTTGTTCAACATGGACTACCTACATGCCCCATGGAATGCCACAGAACACCTCGCCAACAACAAGGGTTTGGACGTTGGGGGCGAAGAACAATACAAAGATGAAGCACGTTATTGCAATCAAGGCGCCGATCATGGTCTTGCGATAGCCGTAACGCTCGCTAACAAAGCCGTTAATGAGCAGACCGATTACCTCTCCCGCACGAGCGCCATTAGACCTACAATTCGCTGTTAGTATAATGCGCGAGATCCATAGAATAGTTACTTACAGCGCGCTCTGCCAGTTCGGCTGAATTGCCCACTTGCCGGTCCTTTCATTGAGTAGGCCATACTTTTGGTTGAACATCGAACTTCCGTACAGTGATCCAAGAAGCGCGCGATCGTAACCCTCCATGATCAGCGCACTTGAAAGAACGACTGACCAGCCAACAACTTTCGGGTACAGCCTGATGGCTTGAAATAAACCCATCGACTTTTCGTCATCCGCAGCATGTTGGGCCTCTTCGTTTGGAGCGACGAGATGAGCCGCAATGGGCTGCTGAGTCTCCCTGTCTGCCATGTCGACAGTGTGAAAAATAGGAGGGCTGCTGAGAGACGTTATCGCAACGTCAAGGCATTGTGTGATTTATATGCCAGCCATGGAGACAGGGATGATCGTTTCTAAACTCAGTACAACCTTGGGACGGGAAACCTGGGGTCAAACGAACACGCCCCATATTTCCCTTCTGCAGTACCCCATGATCCTCAACTTGTCGAAATCGCTCACACTACGCTCGAAGCATCGTGAGGGACCGTTCTCACGAGAACTGACAGGGACTTTCCCTATTGGAGCCAAGTCGGAGGCAAGCGGACCAAGTCGGAGTCGTCAACGTGCGGGGTGCCACCTGAATAGCGCATGCTTGAACTTCACCAAATCAACCGCGTGCAGCACCGACTTCTTAAGGCGATCTGTAGCTCTGCGACAGGGCATGGCTAGCGCCGCGAGTCGCTCAAATGCATTCTACATTTGAACCTCTTCCTCAGGCTTCTCAATCAACGGTCCTTACTCTCCAGGCGTTGCTCAAAAGCCCGCCAATCGTTGCTCGCGATCTACCTGGGGCCGCATCACTCTCTATTACCTTGCAGTATATACTGTGCTAGCGAATTCCTACAGGGTTGACGGACTCCAGGCAGCATGTCGCCTCAGGCTGACCCTCTATACCACAAACGCGTCTGGTGGAAAGAGGCGACCTTCTACCAAATCTACCCAGCAAGCTTTAAAGACAGCAATGGCGATGGCTGGGGTGACATTCCAGGAGTCTTGCAGAAGATTGAGTACATTGCATCGCTAGGCGTAGACGTGGTCTGGTTATCGCCGATGTTCGATTCGCCTCAAATTGACATGGGCTATGATGTCTCAAATTATGAGGATGTATACGCACCATACGGCACAGTCAAAGACGTCGAAGAATTAATCGTAGCGTGTCACAAGAATGACATGAAGCTCATCCTGGACTTGGTAGTCAACCACACAAGTGACCAGCATGTTTGGTTCAAAGAAAGCAGAAGTTCGAAGGACAACCCTAAAAGAGACTGGTACTTCTGGCAGCCTGCACGCTACGATGACGAAGGAAACCGCGTGTCTCCCACCAATTATCGCTCGTACTTCGCAGGCGGGACCTGGACATGGGACAAGCACACTGAAGAGTACTATCTGCATCTCTACGACAAATCCCAGCCAGACCTAAACTGGGAAAATGAAGAATGCCGCAAAGCCATATACGACTCAGCAATGCGCTTCTGGTTGGACAAAGGCATCGACGGCTTTCGCATCGATACGGTCAACAAATACTCAAAAGTCCTTCCCTTTACCGACGCAATCATCGCCGATCCCACATCCTTCACGCAGTTCGCGCCGGAGAAGTGGTGCAATGGCCCGCGCATCCACGAATTTATCAAGGAAATGAACACAGAAGTGTTGAGCCACTACCGCACATACGACGGTCTCCCTCTCGCCACAGTCGGCGAACTCTCGCTCTGTCCCAACCCCTCAGACGTCATTCCTTACGTCTCAGCACGGGAAAAGGAGCTCGACATGGTCTTCCAGTTCGACATCACACACCTCGGCCAAGGCCCACCGGGCGGAACATCCAAATACGACATCGCTTCATGGACGCTTCCAGAAATGAAGCGCATCGTGTCGAAATGGCAGACCTTCATCGACGGCACTGACGCATGGACCACCGTCTTCAACGAAAACCATGATAACGGCCGCTCCATCTCGCGGTACGCAAACGACGCACCAGAATGGCGCGAGAAGAGCGCCAAGATTCTTGCTCTCTGGCTCGTTGCGCAGAGCGGCACGCTCTTCCTGTACCAGGGCCAGGAGATCGGGATGATCAATGCGCCTGAGCACTGGGATATCGAGACGGAGTACAAAGACGTGGAGAGCCAAAATTACTGGGCCGAGGTTGTGAGGCTGGATGACAATGGCACGGACCCGGGGAGGAAGGAGAGGATCAAGAAGGGCTTACAGCTTTTGGCGCGTGATCATGCGCGTCTACCGTTCCAATGGGACAACACACCAAACGCGGGGTTCTCGAGGGAAAAGCCGTGGATGAGAGTACATGATCTTTATCCCGAGATCAATGCCAGCTCCCAGGAAGGGGATCTGCAGAGCGTGTTGAGCTTTTACAAGCAGATGCTCAGACTGAGGAAGGAGCATAAGGATGTCTTTGTGTACGGAACTTTTGAGCTTTTGGATCCGGAAGGCAAGGATACGTTTGTGTATCGCAAACGATATGAGGGGAAGACGGCGGTGGTGTTGTTGAACTTCCGTCTTGAAGTTCAGTGTTTGCCAACAAAAGAGATTGAGGGCATGGAGATGCTTGTTAGCTCGTATGGGAAGGTTGTGGGAGGGCCTTTGCAGCCGCTTGAGGGGAGAGTGTACATAAACTACTAGTCGAGACGTTCGGCATGTCTACTTCATGGAGTAGGTATGCAACATTCACTCGCTTCACAAGCGGGCACTCCCCGAGTCTCGGTACGACAACGCTGTAGACGCTCCTCGGTGTACAGTGGTAGTGCAATTGACGTTGCCAGCCTTTGCCAGCTTCTCTAAGGCATATGCAAAACGGCAAACTCGATATGTAGTCAACATTGTTTTGGTTGTACGGTTCACCCAAGTTCCGTTTTCGTCACCGATTCACTCCCCAATCCTACATGTCATAACCTACCATACAGTGAAATCCCGCACAGAACCGGGTCAACAGCTCCCAAACCCCTTCCACGCCGCCTTCCCATCTAATTCCGCTCACGCATGCCAACACCCTTTACCACAATCACCACCGCTCCTTCCACATCACTCAACTCTGCTTCGCTACCCCGCGAGATATGTCGAATGTACTTTTGAATCATGGGCATTATGGGAATCTTTCAGCTCTAGGCGAATCGAGCGCGGAGGCGAAAGCCTCCACTGCGGTAAGTGCCGTAGCGCCGTTGGGACTGGTTGTGATTGTTGTGGCGATACTTGATTCGGTGTACAGAGAGCGCCGTCGGGGAATGAGAGCGACTGTGGCTAAGTCAGAGAGTGGTGATTCTCTAGCATGAGCAGCCGAACAAGAAGCAGGAAAACCAAAAAGATTCAAAGAACGTTTGAGGATTAGGAGCAAACAGTCGATTTGGGAAAGTGTTGCAGTAAATGCAATAAGTGAAGGTGTAACCGCGCGGGGCAGTAAGTCAGGGGTAACCGCCCGAAGCAGTAAAATCGGTATATATTGTTGTTGTTCTTGTTCAGTGTTCTGTCTCTCTCACCGGGCCATCAGGGTCTGTTTACATGACGTATCTGTCGTTCAGACAGAAAGTGCTATTGGAACAGGCAAGAGCACTGCACCAGCACACGTGGCAGACATGACCTCTTCACTCCATAAACCGTCACAGAAAGTCTATCATACAATTTGTAAGGTATACTACATAGCATTTGATCATGCCCAACCATCTATTTGTGCGCGGTGATATACTTCTTCGCGCCCCTACCATCTGTACAAAAATGGGGTCTGCCAATGCAACGACTTTGCGTGCCGTTGCCTCTGCTCCACTCTAGCACTCCTTTCATGCTGACCATTACCTAACTCAACTCCAACCACTTCCCCTCACCATCTTCCCCCAGCGGCTCACTTTGCGAATAGCTTCCCGGCCCCCTAGCTCCATCCGGAATATGGAACCTCTGATCCACCCGCGTAATTGCATACAGGTAGACGGTAAGGATTTCCACACCGAAGTCAACAATGTAGAACGCCGCTTTGTGGTAGTACGCAGGTAGGGGAGAAGTGTTTTGGACGAGTGTAAGCCACATCGTGCCCGCACGGTAACTCGCACCGAAACACACGAGCACCGTGCCAGTCAACAGGACGACGACTTTGGTGCGGAGGCGGCCGCGACCAAAGGTATCCGGAGTTTGGTTACGTGGTACCGTGAATGCGAGGAGCAGGATCGGAATGGGCAGAAACGAAAGTATTGCGAGGAAAGTCGTGCCGTAGAGTTGCAGTGCGCGGTCGATAAACAGAGTTCGGGGGCGGCGGGTGTAAAACGACTGCACGGTTGCTGTGATGAGCACAGCGAGTGTGAGACCGATGAGTGGCCAGAGGATCTTGAGGATCGTGGAGGGCACGCGGTGCCATCCGAATTGAGGATGGAGGGAGCGCACTAGGCGCTGTGTCCAGAGAAGATTGATGACGAAGATTATAAGAACGCCCGCGGCGGTGAAGATCTGTGCTGCGATGGCAAGGCGGATGTTGTGAGCATAAACTACTGAGGAGATGCGCAAGCTGCAGGTTATGCTTCGGGACATGCAGAAGCCTGTACTGGTTATTAGTACAAGTCCAAGTTTCAGGTGGGACTGCAGCGAAACTTGACGTACCGAATAGAGCGCCAGAAAACAAGAACTTGTGTCTTCGCCGATTATTTAACTGCAAGATGGTCATATGAATTGCGGCTCCGCATATGTAGAGCGCAAGACAGATTGATGTGACGGGAATGTCAATGGACTTGTTGGGTGCTCCGCCCAAAGCCCAGACTCGAGGCAGATATGGTGGTCCTTGGCTCATCTACGCGGGGTCAGAATGGACTTTCAGAGGTTCAACGAATACGGACTTCGAGTACAGGCGTTCTACTTTATCCAGTGAGATGGTACGTTATTGGCAGGAGGCTTAAGGCTCAACTGATGCAAAAGTCGTTGTTGCGGGATGTCGATGCTGGAAGTCGCTGCAGCAACAAAGTGGGTATATATGTTCGCTCCATATCAGAACACGGGTTTGATATGAATCTGCGCATTTCGCCCAATACCTCCTTATTGTGACCGAAAGTTGAGTGCTCGGAGGCTCGGAGGCACCGCGCAACAGAGCATCGTCGGTGGATCGGGAGTTCGGCGGCTCATGATTAATGCCGAGGAGCGAGAAAAACGAGAAGAACGAGGCGGCGTGGCAGTCTGTTTCTTCAGGTCGAACAGATGAGCTGTGAGCCTGGGTTAATGTTTTTGGTGGTCCTTGGTACTACGATGTCAAAGGAAAAGTGGAGCTTGAAAGTGATGGATGAGAGCTACGGAGGAGTTCTGGAGAGCCGACGCGGTAGAGAAAAGCTAGGCCTAATCAGGCAACCACCAGTACCGCGCCGTCAGGTAAGAACCAACGACATACACAGCAGATGCTGGGAATGACCAAATACCAGTCGACGCATTGGTAGCTATCAGATCGATGATCGATATATAGGATGTTCGTAGTCGACACCGAGGACGTTTACGTGGAACAGCTATGCAGAGCTGTATGCAAGTCTATCATAGCATTCGCGGGGTATACCTACAAAACAACGAACAATGTCGCTACCATCATATGCATCTGAACATCCAATCATACATACAATTCAAGCTCTTCCATGATTTCTTCCTTCCTCTCTTTCTTCCCCGTCATCTCCTTCCATATCATGTTTCCCTCATGAGCTGTGCATGAAGGGGATATATCTGTACAACTCATCAAACTCCCTCCCAATCCACCCTACCGTCTTCCCCGCCCTACCAACCACACCAAGCCCGCCTGCAAGCCAAACACTAGCAACCAACGCAGCAACACTGTTGATGCCATACCACCTCCTCTTCTTATCCAAGTCCCTCTGCTCGGAATACGGTGACACTTGACTCGGCTTCCAGCCCATCCACTGCGCAACGCCCCACGCAAAATGCCACACGCCCGTCCCCACCAGCGCTGTGAAACCGGCGAACGAGATGAAGGGGTGTGTCGCGAAGCCGTGGCTTATGTATGAGAGGCTGATCAAACTGTTGTCGCCGTGCATGTACAGCGGGAGAATGCGCGTGGTCCACACGTGGAAACTGGCGAGCGGGAGGAGGATATAGCCTAGTAGCGACGTGCCGCTGAGCGCTGGCCAGGGGATCGAGCGCTTGTCTGTCCGTGTTTCGGCGCCGTAGCGTTGGAGCGCTTGGCTCCTCCTATACAGCCTGAGGGCGACGCCGCTCGTGATGTGTGCGAGGAGCGGGAGGGCGACGACGAGGGGCTCGGCGAGTGTGGATTGGTAGTAGGGGCGCGTGAGGAGGAGGTAGCGGTTTGCTTCGGGCACGGAGCGGACGGCGAGGGGGATAAGGGAGGTGTTTGCGATGTGGAAAGCGGTGAAGACGCCGAATGCGTAGGAGGAGTACTTTTGTAGGCGCGTTACTGTCGCAATGTCAGTCTTCTGACTATCCCGAAAGTGCGGACAGGACGAAGCGTACACCACCACACCGGCCCATGGCTACCGCCTAACCCCAACGTCGTCGTCGTTGTCCGCGGCAACCCGAACTCTTCTTGCCCATCTCGCTCCCCATTTCCTGCGGATGGAAAGTATCCTTCCTTGAACTCGGCGGGTGTTTCGTCTACAGGGCTGGGCTCGACTTCCGTCAGGCCCATTACGCCCGCTTCCTCATCGCGGAGCATCGGCAGCGCCGGCGGTTTTTGCGACGCCATGGTTGTGGTGCTGGTGAAGTTGCTGATTCGGGCGACGTTGATAGGTTGCCGGGGCGGTGAAGTGCGGTGTGGGTCCGCGTCTGTGCAGACCGAGGTTGGCTGGGGTATGCAGGACTGTCGAGCCTCACCATGTCATCTGAGCTTGTCTGCACTTTAACACCAGCAACACAAGACACTCGAACTGTACACCCAACGCCACACAGATCTCACTCAACACCGCACACACACAACCACTACCACCACAATGCCACCCCGAAACAACCCCGTCCCCAACGCCATGCGCCTCTTCAACTGCACCATCTGCGACAAAGGCTACCCGCGCCAACTCGACTACGAGAACCACCTGCGCTCCTACGACCACAACCACCGCCAGCGCTTGGCCGATATGAAGAAGCTGACCGCCAGCAATGACGCCGAAGGGCAGAAGCCGAAGCAGGGCGTTGAGTTGCAGAGGTTGGAGGGCAAGGGGGCGTTGGCAGGGAAGGGGTTTACGAAGATTGGTGGGGGAGGGAGTGGGGGGTTGGGCAAGGGGTTTACGAAGATTGGAGGTGGGTTTAAGAAAGTGGGGACTGCTGTGGGGAAGGAGGAGAAAAAGGAGGGGGAGAAAAAGGAGGGGGAGAAGAAGGAAGAGGAGAAGGAGGGGGAGAAGGAAGGGGAGAAGAAGGAGGAGGATAAGCCTGTGGAGGTGGATGCGAGCGCGCCGGCCGCTGATGCAATGGCTGAGAAGCAGCCAGAGAGTAAGAAAGACGACGATGTTGTCATGGGGGAAGACGACCCGGAACAGACTACTACGTGGGAGGAGTACGACTTCACCAAGCCTACCGGATGCGACCACGCAACCTGTGGCGGCTGCAAGACCGATGGGATCTGGAGTGGCAGCTGGGTCGCCGTTTGAGACGTCTTACCATTCGGTTGCAAACGCGTCATGATTGTCATGCGTGGAGATACCCGCTCCGCTTTGCTCCAGCAATGGCAGCACTCGACTCAGGATATATGGTTTTCGAGACGATCTGCTGGGTGTGTAGTCCTATATTGGTCACGACTACGCCGCATCACCGCAAGATGAATGGAGACGAGCTCGCCGATTATCTTAGGTATCTCCTGGATCTACAAGGACGACCAAGAGCACCGCCGAGGAGTCCGGGTGCACAGGCCCTACTCGATGTCGAACCGGCTGACCTGGACCGCCTTTGCGCTTGCCTCTGGGTGGCTCCTGCAAGCAGCACAGCTCGTAGAGAACTCGCATCAATCTTGTCGACTGGTCCGGCTCTGCCCCTCATTTCGCTCCCAGGCTGTAAGTTGTATGGAATGCATCGTTAGACAGCTGTGCACCAATAATGATTTTCAGGCACCGAGGAGGACCTAGACGCATGGGTCCGCGAAGCTTACCATCGATGTACCGATACAGACATCGTTCGGGATGGTAGCCAAATCCTTGTCAAAGACGTGGCACTCACTGTCGCGCGCGATAAGTTGAGGGATCTACTACAGGTCATTTGTCCCGATATTAGCGATATCATTTGTAAGCGTTTTGCAGTTGTCGACGCAACACTTTGGAGGCTTGCAACTGCACAGGATATGGCCAAGCGTGCTGTCGGGGTCAAGATGTACATGGATAAGCTAGACGGCATTTGACGGATCTGAAAGATGTCTTTGGTCCGGTACATTATTCGCCATTAACCAACTTCCCATGCACTGTGCTTGGGTTTGCCTCGTACTTTCCTGGTATGTCTTAACACGGAACGAGCTGGTGTGGTTCGAAAAGCTTGTGCTTCGGCTGTTCATTTCCTTCCTTCGTCTGGCTCGCTCCTTCCCTGTTGTCTCTCCGTTCGGGCTATTTTAGGACTACATTAGCTCACTCACCCTCGCCAACTGTCCACTTGAGATCTACTCCTCCTTGACCTGCCCTCGCTCGCTTCGTCGCCATCTCCGTCATCATCGTTGTTGTCGCCGCCCTGAATCGCGCTTAGTATGGAAGCTGGCACCGCCCAAGCCATATCAAAAACGATGATTGCACCATAGCCGCCTATTTCTGCGTTTGTGAGAACTGTGACAGCTGAGCCAGCTGCGACGCTGCCAATGCCGGCCTGGACGCCCGCGGCTATGCTCCCTGGAGGAACGTCAGCGATGCGTTCACACTGAGAATTTTTGGAACGCTTACCTGCAACAATACCACTAGCCTCGAATCCGACGATGCCGAGGATATCTGGTGTGCAGGCCAGCAGAATAAGAGGGAAGACGATAGCGGCAGTTTAACACGGATGCGCTTTCACCCATACCAGGTTCGCCTTCGCTATGTTATTGAACTTCATACCGGACTTCTTGAAAGATTGAATGCCTTGATCGAATGCATCTTTGACTTGCATACTCAACGCGGAGAGTACATATCCACAATGGAAACCAACGGCGTACGCTTGCGCAAGTCCAGAATTGCGCATAACAACAGAAGCCACTTGCTAGCAGCGAGGGAACTGGAAGCGTCATGAAATGGTCTCGATCGATAACAGCACCATGCTGGTCGATTGGGGCCAAGCCAACCTGTAACCTCATCTCATTGATCTGCACACATTCCATCGAGACATGTCGACCCATCACTTTGCCTTCACGTATCAGAGTCCGCCATCAAGCTATGGGCTTGTACCTCGTGCAAGCCTTGTACAGCACCAAGGCCACTGCGCCTGAGATGCACATGATCGACGGCGACAGAACTGAGACGTAACCGTGGAGGCCTTCGACGAGGTGATGGGCTACTAGTCGCCCGAACGGTCAGAGGCGATGACTACGCAGACGCTGGCCAGAGAGGGACTCAATGCGCAATCGTCAGATGAGCGTGTGTAGGTATTCAATGCAGCGTCGCTTTCGCAGACATACAACGATGCGAATAAATCCACCTCTGTGAGCCACGACCATGTGCATCCAGCAAGGTGGCAGCAGCAGCTCGAACCTTAAGGTAGATCGCCAAAACCACTGATCGCGACTCTTGCAAGACTGACTACCTCCAGAACTGTCCGAAGAGAAGGTTGATGAAGACATTCATAGCACGCAGTGGGCCCCAGCAGGCTCGAATGTGGTACCGCTGGGCGCGCAGGCCGAACAGTCTCCGGGTCTTACGCAGGCGTCTAAAAGTCAAGACTGCGACCAAATATCAAGCAGCAAGATATCTGCCCTCGGCGGGTCCGTACTTTGATCAACTCAGCATCACATCAATGCTTGGAGGTGGGGGCGCATCAAGAAGGGTGACGTGATGTGCCACGTGTTGGGCAAGCCATCATCCCGGCTCTGCAAAATGTCAGAATCTCTGTCCGTTCTGTGACACGAGCGATCATTCTGGCAGATTTAGTACTCTTCCAGCCTCGAGCCATTCAGACATCCAAACGAGCAGATGCTCTGAGAACGCAGTACTGACCGTGACGCTAGAGTTGCTTGATGTTGTATTGCTCAACCACATATTATGCCCACAGAAATGTGACTGCGTTGTCCGGACGCCAGATTCGACCCTCCAAGAAGGATATGGCTGTGTTATCTGGTCTCGGCATGGTTCAGCCATACTCCAGTTCGACTCAACCCATCATACCGATAGTGACGCATCCAGATGTTGCTAGGTTCCACGGTGACAAGCCTCCTCATATGTTGTCAGACGAACTGAGTTTGTCGGTGACAGCGCAGAATAGGACTTCAGAACAAGAAGGAGCGGCGCGAAATGCAACAGATGGACCGACGTTATCACCGGCCTCCATGTCTTCAGGAAATGTGGTCCATCACAACCTGGATCCACGCCTTCGAGGTCACGATCTAGGAAGTCTCGATACTGCGACTGCCTCGAGTACCGATCGAACGCTCATCACACCTCACGACCAGGATGCTTCCGATGTTGCTATTGATGGAGGAGATCACCTGCGCAGGCTGAAAGAGGAGTTGCTGAAGCTCAAGGCGGAGGAAATCATGAATGACTGGGTAATCAGAATGCTGAGAAGTGAGAACGAGCGGTCGCGTACTGGTGAGGACCTTCAGACGGGCAACAAACGCCCAGGGCTGGAAAAAACAGATCACCCCTTTTCAGCGCTTCCTTGAGGCTTAGTATGCGATAATTGCAGAAGGTTGTATCCTCACGCACCAGTAAAGATGCCATAGTGTTGACATTCATGATGGTGTTCAGGAGGATGGTGGCAGGCATCGCAGCGACGTTCAGATCATATCCCGAAGCTAGACTGCGTTAGGTATAGTGTAATTGAACTCCGAAGCGGACTTCAGCTCCTCTTCTCTCGGAGCCAGCCAGCAACACTTATCATTGAGAAACGCAGCAATCCACGCGCTCAACCAAATGCAACTGGGCTATTCTAGCATCGTTCCTTGTTTGTGGTACTATGCTGGCGTCGCAATCCCCTCGCTGTACAATCAACTACCTGGCACGCAATGATGCATACGCGAAGCGTACACGATTGACGCGCGTATCCCGTACCGAGGAGGAAGGTAGAGTCGACCCTTGGCCAGGGCGGGCTGTTGTGTATGAGAAGCGCATTTCTCAAAACACCCTTGTCTTTTGTAGTCTTTCTTGGGCTCGGCCTGGTATAGGTTGTTTCGAAGAAACTAGGTACGCCTCGTGACTTTGACCTTGAGCCGGGTGACCGCGTAGCTGTGAGCACGCACTGCGTACAGAGCCCAAAAGACTAGGTTTTAGCTCCCTTATCCCGGTGAATTGTCTTGCATAGGGTGTGCACGTTCAGGCATACGGGTATAAACCTATCTTCTTGTATAACCTTACCCCTCTTACCTACATGCACCTACTGTCAAGCTTCCAAAGCAATCTATCAACTCTCTGCTGTGCTGGGAGATGACTGGCTGTCGGCGCTCAAGTCACGGGGTGTACCTGGTCTTTCCGGAACGCCTACACCACTCGGCAATCATGTGGCACAGCCCCATTGATGAACTCCGAAAGTCACAACCTCGTCTCATAGAGAGGCCGTTTCGCGCTTACTTGCAGTCCGAACTACCGTTCTTGGTTGTACGTGACTATGCAGACAGTCCGTCTCGCTAGGGTCTGTCAAGCGGCGCCCATGTCGGCCGTCCGGACGGTTGGCACACCTCGGGCACCGTTCTGCAGCATAGCATAGCAAAATAGTATATCATGCATTGTATGTTCCCAGCATTCTCGAACCTCAAGCAAGACTTCAGTACATCCCAAGAGCCGGATCTCGACAGGACAGCCGCTCGTTTACACCGATTATTCTCGCTCGACTACAGTCTCTACCTCAACGTTTACCCAGGACCAATATAACAAACAACTTTAGTCCTCCCTTTCTCCATACATCAGCTCAATATGTCTGCCTTTGACAACTTCGACCGCCTTGCCATGAGCGAAGCGCAATTCCTTCGCATGGCCGAAGCCGAATTCCAACAAGCTCAGCGCCCTCAACTACGCCGCGGCCCTTCCTTCGCAGAGAAGTACCTCTGGAAGTCACCCTCCCTCGGTACATCTTCCATCCGCCGCGATACCGCATCGCCTGCCGCCTCCCCCGCCCTATCAACCACTTCATCCTTCAGCTCCCCCAAGATGTCCTCGAACGAAACCTACTTCGGCCACTCGTCGGTCAACAGCCCTAGCATGGGTACCGGCTGGGGTCTTGGGCTCGTGTTCAGGAAGAGAAGTAACACTAATGCAAGTGCGGCTAGTAGCCCGAGTATTGGTGGACGTACGCCGACGCTGGGTGCGAGTAGTCCTAAGTTGGGGAGTAGCAATGTGGATGCTCATAAGAGAAGTGGGAGTGGGAGTAGTGCGGAGAGTAAGGATGAGTTTGGGCTTGTGAAGGAGAGGCATATCAGCCAGCTTTTCTAGACGAGGAGGGAATTAAGTGTGGTTTCTTGGTTTTGGTTCTTTTCGATATACCTTCCGCGCTAGGCGTCCTGTCTTTTGACAATGTCATTTTCTCCCCTTCATCATACACTCTTCAATCCTCGTCGTCACCTGCCTTATCGTTCAATTCTCAGCTGTCATCTCGTTTGCGTTCATCCGAGGAGGATCTCGGGTTGGAGCTGGCTGATGAGCTGGCATCACGTGCGATTCTTTCACTTTACAGGACCCCAAAACAAACTAGTCGGCCAAGTCTTTGCGTGTTTAGCCCGTCTTGCGCCAGCGACCTGGTTGTCCCCCACCATCCACCATCCCATCTAATGATGTCGTCACAGGATCAATCATTGTAAGCCACACTGATGTTACTTTGTTGTTTCTCAGTCCAACCTCTGACCCTCATCACAGTGAGCGCGTCCCAGTGCGACGAGATCGCTATCTCCGAGACATTCATGACACCGAAGGTGCATCAATGAACTCTTCTTCCGCCCGGGCCTGACTAACGATGTTTTGACAGGGACAATGTACGATGAAATACTAATTTGGTGCGACAACTTTCCTGAACTGATTGATGAGCTCAACGGACTCTCTTTCTTTTATGTACGGGATCTAGGATGTTCGTACGACAGTCTCGCTTTACAGGATAGATGAAAGCTTTTCGTGATAGGTTGAGGAGCAAAGAAGGAGGGGCGTAGCTTCCGTCCACGCGTCATGAACGTTTGCTTGCAGCTGTTCATGTTTATTTTTTTTTGAGTGGTTGCGCTCCTAAATGGTCAAAAACGCCGAGATAGTAGTAGTCGTGAGCAAGGCGGCGGATGGCGAGAAACAAAAGCCAAGGAATTGTTGGACGGAGCTAGAATGATCTAGTGGTCGAGACAAAGGAATTGACCGTCTGAGCGTGAGTCTAGCAGCGCCCTGCGGACAAGGCCGAATGCAATCAATGTCGAGTGCCGTTCTCGTCGTTTAATCCAGCAGTCCTTATTCTCTTTACCCCGGGCTGATTTAAGACCTCGGCGCATACGGCGGCTGCTTAGGCGGGGCATTTATCCAAGTTGCCATCGCATAGTTCGTCTGATCTGCCGCAGTCAACCTCGTGTTGTACTTCTTGCCGCCGAATAGGAAGTTGTTTGGGAAGAGAGGGTCGAAAGGAGCGGCGTTGTGGATCTCATCGATCTCTTCTCTCGAAATATCGATGTTCAGCGCGTTCGGCATCGAGTTGACATGCTCGACGGTTTGCACGCCGACGATTGGGAAGACGTAGGTCGACTGGTGGAAGAGGTATGCTAAAGCCTAACGGGGAATTAGTCTTAGTGTTCGTGAAAATCAGGTGAAAATGGCGTACGATGTCTTGCAGTGTGGCGTTCTTCCGGTTTGCCAGGTCTTCCAGCACTTCGCATACTTTTATGTCATTCTCAGTCGCCTCGTAGTATCCGTGACCAGCGTCCGGATCTTTCTTCAGCTTCTCTCTTTGTTCTTTCGTAGTCAGCTGTCCTCCGCCTAGCGAAGCCCACGATGTGATGGCCATGCCTTGATCTTCGCACATGGGAATGATCTCGGATTCTATGTCGCGAAACGCTGCATTCCAGCGACCCTGGTAGATGGAGAAGGGTGTTAAACCGTTGTGGCGCGCATCTGCAGTGGTCAGCGGGTGAGAATATGTGATCGATGGATGATGGGGCTTACAAGCATTCGCCTTGACGACAACCCATGCAGGCATATCAGAAGCTCCCAGATAGAGCACTTGCTTTGCCATAACCAGCGCATGCAGGCCGCGCATCACTTCTTCGACGCTGCAATTGACATCCCACCTTCATGTTGTTAGCTCACATGGATCGAAATAAGCCGTGTCAGCGTACCAATGCACGTAAAGGATGTCGATATAATCTGTTTTGAGCTTTTTCAAGCTGTCTCTTACAGAGACATGCATACTCTTTGCCGATGGTCCAGTGTAGTTGCTCTGTAACGGTACACCCTCACGGTTCCAAGACTTGTATCCGGCACCGTACTTTGTCGCAAGGACCATCTGGTCTCTCACCCCTCTTGTCTCCATCCATTCTCCCAACAGCTTCTCCGACTCCTCGCTGTTGTAGACGTTAGAAGTATCGATGAAATTACCTCCAATTTTGTAGAACGCATCGAGTAGCTTGAAGGCATCCTCACTTTTCCCAAACAGCTCACTCCACGAGTTACCAAAGCTTATGCCGCCAATGGCAATGGGAGATACCTTGACGTTGGCGGTGGGAGAAAGGATGCGATGCCAGCCGATCTGCGTCTTGGGCTTTGGTGGAGGTGCGAAGATGGACATGGTGTGATGTTTGGTCGAGAAGAGGAGCTGAAGCTGTGTTGCGGTAACGTCCGAGGATGATGGCGAACGACTGGATATTGCGCGGACGCTGGTTATATATGACACGATACTTGGCAAGTCATTGCAAAAGTGCGTATGCGCGGTAGATCGGCGTATGCAGACTGCTGACACTAAGCCCGTCATGTTCCCGAGGGGCTCAATCGCTTCGGTAGGCTAAGCCTTACCCAGTCCGCGAACTGCTGTGGTGTAATCAGCGCCTCACCTCTTTGTGCACGCCAGTGGTTTGTTGCTATGACTACGTCTCCGCAGCCTTTTAGAAGCCATGCCCATTTCTTCAGAAATTCATCGCTGACCTCCCAGCTGCGTGGATCCCAGGGCGACCCCCAGATGAGAAGCATTGGCTCTCTTTCTGGATCATCGTAATCACAAATATCGTGGCACAGCTCGTCTTCGTCGCATACGTCGGGATTCTCGAAGGCTATAAGCAGGTTGTTTCGTAGTCGTGGCCATGGGAAACAGTCGACCCAAGGGTGGTGCTCCATCGAGAGCTGGAGTTGAGTGGGTTTCAGAGTGACCGGCCAGTCTGCGAATTGATCGTGGAAATTCAAACCCAATAACGGGCCTTGTTTGTTCATAGGCGATATGCCCTCCCAGTTGTAGAACTCTTTGGTGACGCCCATGAGGGCAGCGTTCGTCGCTAGTGAAGTAGCCACATTGTACCTAACAAGAAGAGGTAGATGAGACACGGCCGGCTCTCCTTGCATGTAGCTGGCGTATGCATGATCTGCGAACCGACTCATCAAGGCCTGTACTTCAGGTACCGACGCCATGCAGCCTTGAGGCTGTGGCCGCTTGGGAACAAGTACCGCGGAGCCTTCTGACCCTTGTGGTGATCGTGGCGCAGCTGTGCTACTTGACCGAACGATCACACTGAATCGTGCATTATCTTGGGATGCCGAGCGATCCGTGACTGTTGAGGCTTCGCGTGAACTCTGTTTCCGCGCTCTTTCTCCTGCAGAACAATCGTCAATATGGTAGACCTCTACACAAGACCTGGACAATACTGACTGCAGGCTCTCTGATTTAGCCGGTTCTGCAGTTTCCTCCTTTCAGCAGGGTTGGTAATGCCTGTCCAATCTTCTCTGCTGTCACGTAACGCAAGTCGTTGAGACGACCAGCCCAGCTCGATAGGCTGCGCGGAGCCCTCAATCGGGGAGTTTGACAAACGGTTTGCTGACATTTTGGCTCGCAAAGGGCTGATGGGGCCGTATTGGTGTCAGCCTGGGTGCGGACTTTGCAGGTATATGCAGACAGCTGACATGCCGTTGATCGGTATCCTAGACCTCCCCTGGACACGCAATGAGGCTGCGTTTCCCCGCAAGTGCAGAGTTCGAGCGGGTTTCATTGCTATTGCCGAAAACCTTAAGGAGTTAAGTGACGTTGCATCGGTTTTCGTCTGGTCGGAAATTTTCTTGACTGTCAGCAACCTGCATTAAGTCCTTTGATCTAACGGCCGCTAAACTGTAGCGGCTCGCTAGTACCCTGCTGGGATTCATCAGCGAAGCAATCAGAACTCAGAAATTCCGGTGTGCGAGAGCGAGTGCGGTCTCGAAATTTTCGATCTTTCAAATGTCGGTTGGGGTTACCGAGCGCTTGGCGACCGGATGAGAAATCGGTAACAACTTGCTTGCTCCTACACCTCACTCTGAACATATCGTGTACGCGGACTGAGGCTTGTCGAGCTTGGCACACGTCAATGTTGACTGATTGCATGAAGAATTCCCGAAAATATGAGAACACATGACCAATACATGACCAATACATGGTTTGTTGTTGATTGGGAAATGGACACTGACGCTGTTGCAAGGCTCCAGAAGCCTTTGGGAAAGCAATGCAGATGCGAATCTCAAGCGCCGGAAGGCCGAATTATTCAACGGGGGCCATACTTCCAAAAGTGTTCCGGATCGACACCATGCTCGCCCTCAACCTAAAGAGCTCTGTTCATCCTGTGGTAGCCTTCATCTTTTTCGATGCCCATAGGCTGAATGCTCTCAAGCAGTATGTTGACATCCTCGGGCACGAACTCCTCGTTGTGGCCCTCATAATCCACCACATACTTTCCTTCGTCGTCAAAATAGCCTAATCCCAAGTTGTACATCCATGCCAATGCTTCCCGTATTCTGTTCCTGATGAACAGCCTTCGGAAATGAGCTTGCAGCTGGGTAACAACATCTTCAATTGTCAACGGTAGACTGTCTTTGCGTTGAAAAACCAGAGCGTGCCAGCATTCCTAGAGACGTTCCGGTTCAGGATGAGGGTCGATGAAGTGGTAGTAGTCGTGCCATTGGCTCTCATACTCCCCCAGAGCCTCGACAAAGAAAATGATCTTCTTCGCCAGAGATTTAGTCATGTATTTCGACGCAATGGGATGGTCATCAGTGTAGGGCGTCACATTCGTTTCGGGATCGTCGACATCGTCTGCGACCTGAATCCCTGCGATGCCTGCAGGATCGAAGATTGACCAACGGAGGCGTTCGAGGGGGGCGTCGTTGAGATCCCTCGTAGGGATCGAAATCTTCAAAAAGAGTGACCATATTGATATGAAGTGGAATGGATTTGGAGCTCGCGGTGCCGTCAATTTTGTTTAACATGACACGGGAGTATCTGCAAGCGAGGCGCGGCATGTGGTTGCCTGGAGACTACTACAGATGGTGTTGTTTTGACCCATCGTCATCCTGATCACAAGGTGGCTCATTCTCAAGTAAGAATGGCATGCTGAGGGCAGGACGTGCAGCCACAGCCGTGTGCGGTGTTAAGAGGATGAGCGAGCACGGTATCTGGGAAAGAGGTGTCAGAAAGAAAAAGGGACGTGCGTCGAGCGTCCTCCACTTGGTCCTCGCCCTCACTCTCGACAGACACAACCACCAACACAACCACCAACTTGTCATTCTACTGCAGCTCCGTCACTCTGCAGTTCTGAAAATCTCAGGCGCAAATCCGAGTTGATACACTTGCTGCTCCCCTTTCACGATGCAATCGAGATGGAAAGTGGGACCTGTGTGGTATCGAAATACGATCTCGATTGATTGTGTTTCTTGTGTTTGTTCAAGAAACCTGCGTCAGAGATCGCCCATACAAGCTATTGACCCTAGTCCCAATAAGAACGGTAAACAGCCCAAATACTCCTGCCTTATATCACCGGAGAGCTACTTCCATTCAACATGTGCTCCCAAAGACAGCGCTACCCAGCCACTACAATGCTTTGTTCTAATTGGGCGAACATTGGGATGAGCCTGTGCATAGGCAGCAGTTCAATACAATCTGATAAGGCTGCGTACAACACCCACAACGCTCACGAGCTTGCTACAGCGTTGAGTTAGGCTTGCGCTGTAAGGAAACTTTCTCACCTTCGTCGTTTGAGAAGGTAAATTTCGCCATTAGCTCACCTACGACGCGGCAGGAGCACCTACGAAGTTATTGACGAACAACACAACGCTTTCCCCGGCGATATCGACATCACCGCCACCATCATCATTTGTTGGTGCGAGTCGAACCAAGTTGCGTTTCCATTACAAACGGACATTTCGAACACCACATCCGGACAACCATGGTGCTCCCGGCGCTGTAGGGCTTGGCCTCGTTGTCGTTTGAAGTTTATGTGTGGGAGAGGTTTCTAAGCTCCAGTGAGCAATCAGTATCCGATCCGGAGCTCAGTATTACTTGTTGCGGTATCGGTTGGTCCGTACAGTGTCTGACTATACCCCTGATCGACCACCCTGGACTAGTGTGTTACAGGTCAGGTATATAGTCGTCTCCTCCTAACTAGATAGCAATACAGCGCAGTATTCCATTGACCCGATAGTCCTACGTTATCGTTTACCGTAGCTATCAGTATTCTACATCGGTTCACACCGCTATATTTTTTAAAGCTCAACGAGTACCCGCTTGATTGGGGTCGGGAAAAGACGGGGAAGATATTGCCCCGATGGCTTGCGAACCTCTGGATCAATCTCTGCGGCTCACGCTGTTTCGTACGTTCTCCGTACTGAACTCGCGCTTGGATTACTCAGGAGTTTACCGAGGAAAGTCAGCAATGGAGTTTTGTCATTCATAGCAGCAGCGCTGCACCTTGAAGAATACTGACATATACTACAAGCGATCACTGATCGACAGGTCTACAAACGGCTCGTGAATCCACTCTTATCGATCTTGACTAAGTACTCTGGTCCAATATCTTTCACGCTTGTAACACCAGCAAGACCCATACACAGCTTGAACTCATCGCGAATCAACTGCAACGCAAGCTCGACACCCTCTTGCCCTTTGTACGCCAACCCCCACAGAATGGGCCTGCCAATCCATACAAAGTCCGCACCAAGCGCCAGCGCCTTGAACACATCGGTGCCATGTCGAATGCCGCCATCGACGTGTACTGAGATCTTCTTCTCTTGACTTCTTACAGCCTGCACAACTTCAGGCAGCGCATCTATAGTCGCCAACGCGCCGTTGAGCTGGCGACCACCATGGTTCGACACCACAATACCATCAACGCCGTGATGGCATGCAAGCAGGGCATCCTCTCCCGTCGCAACACCCTTCACCCAAACTTCCATCTCTGGGTGGCACTGCTGCTTCAGCCACTCAATATCCTTCTCCCACGTCAACGTAGGATTTGCAGCATGTGTATGAAATCGAATCGGGCCCTTGGGCAGCACCCTGTTCTCTCCATCATGATACCCAGACTCGCTAGCGCTCTGCTTGGTATTGCTATCCCCACTCTTCTCATCATCCCGATTCGCAAAATTCGCAATTCGCAAATGCTTTGGCAGCGTAAACTGATTCCTGATTTCCATATTCCTGCGTCCCAGGACTGGCGTGTCGACCGTCAGCAATACGGCTTTGTAGCCCTTAGCTTTTGCCCGCTTGATTAGCTTCACGCTGTGGTCTCGATCTTCGAAGAGATAGAGTTGCAGCGCCATGGGTGTCATGCCGATTGCGTCCTTCACGTCTTCAAGGGTTTGCGTTGCGAAACTGCTCAGGCCCATGACGACGTTTTGTTCCTTGCACGCGCGTGCGGTTGCGATCTCGCCATCGGGGTGGGCGAGACAGTGCATAGCTGTCGAGGCTGCGCCGATTGGCATGCTCGACTTAGTCCCAAAGACATCAACGGTGGTGTCGATGACGGAGATATCACGGAGCACGCGTGGGCGGATACGGTATTTCTGGTATGCGGTGATGTTCTCGGCGAGCGTTGAGCCAGAGTCTGCGCCTTCGTTGTAGTAGTCACGTGTCTGCTTGTCCATGCGCTGCGCTGCGAGGACGCGCAGCTCCTCGATCGTAAGACAGTGTAGGTCGGTGATATTCTTGCTGTACGCCATGTTGGCGGATAATATCAACCCGTGTCGATGGGATGATGGGTAGAAAGGCGACAGCAACAATGGCTTGTGGCGGCGCCATAGTCACTTTATCAATTTGTCGATGACGCCGACTCCGGGATCGGCGGACTAGGTCCCGCTTGTGCGGTTGCCGAAGTGGAGTAACCGTGATCGGATCTGATAAAAAGCGGCTGCATTCGGAATTTCCTGGGAATCTCGATTATACTTGCTTATTCTCGCGTTGATTCCCAAACCTCAATATACAGATACAATGCAGTTTGGACTTTGAGAAGCCATGTACTCGCGGATTACGATCACGCTGGAGTTCCCAGGAATACCGCAGCTCGGAGAGATCATGATACTCGAGCATTGACGGCTCGGTCGAGTTTGCCCCGAATTTGACCGCTTATCAGATCTTGAGGGTCCAGGTCGAAATGCATCAATCTTCGCTCTTGCGAAGTCTAAACTATATCTACACCGAGGTTTCAAGCTCGGAGCATCAATCCGTGGTGCTATGGATGTGCAAGAAAATTGCAAGCCGTACTGTGCTGTGATCTTAACTCGAAACACATTTTGTGATGACTTTCGGCAGGTGGTTCGTGTACCTGTGCTGCACCAGGTACCGGTCTCGAAATCTGTGCGTGCTTGTACAACACCACAACCATTCCTCATTGCTAATTCACGCCGATGATTGACAACGCACGACATGAATTTACAGCTGAAGAAAAATCACCCCCAAATGAAGCTGTGGCTCAGAAGGCGGCGCATCGACGGCATGACCGATACCTTCGCGTCGCAATTACAAGAAGCAACTCGAGTGGGCCTTGTCTGAATCTCAAGAGACTCACGATGCTCTTACAATACTATGAACTGTGCTACTAACCACGCCTGCCTCGAGTATTCTGTCTGAGCCTTCATAATGGAATGGTGTCACAGACACATTTGCAAAGCATGGATCGGCAGCACTACCGACAACAATCTGACCCTTCATGGTTTTCACATGCTCAAGAATACACATCTCCTCGAGAATGAGATTGCTGAGATGGATCACGTCTTGTATCAAGCCGGCCTCAGCTTAGGTCTCAGCCCTTCGTTTATCGATCGGCTCGGGCTGAGTCACTGCAAAAAAGATGACGGCGTTCCCAAAATCGGTGACACCATCACTGATGAGTTTGTGCTCAAGCTACGCGGCCTTTTAAAGCAGTACAGTAGGAGATACTTCCCACACGTCCACAAACCAGGCTGGCGGTAGCTCTACAACTAGACAAAGCACTCGCAGCCTTCAACATCATGATCACGGAAACTTTGTCCCTCCTCGACGAGGAAAATAAATTCAGCTTAAGAGATGACCCCAGCTTGCACGAGGTTCACAAAACTCGACTCCTCAGAGTGGATCTCGGGACACGGGTGCGGACAGATCCCTTCCAGCGCTGGCTTCAGAAGTATCTCCGAGCTTTTTAGATACTAGAGATTGTTGAAAAGGCCCCAGAGCAACAGTGAGGGACTCGGATCGTTCACCGAACAAGGTTTTGGGTGGTCGCATGTCATTGGCCGTAGTCTATGCCGTCACTTAACGCTAGGAGGGGTAGTTTAGTGAATGCTTGGATTGGGGGGCGCAGGCTGCTTCTGCCCGGAGAAGACGGGATGAGAAGCCTTCAACGGTGCTTGTGAAGGAGTCAACATCTTGCCTGGGGCAGAAGGCCAGCCAGCTACATTATTGAAGTATTGTAGTGAGGTGTAAGATCAATCGTTCAACTCTCTCAGAGAGGCTACGTAACTCTGAACACTATAGCCAAATTAGGTAAATAATACCTGTGGAAACCTTCTCCAACAATAAAACTATCTAGAATCAACCACAAAAAAAGAGGTGTGAGAGAGTTGTGAGAGAGTTGTGCAAGAGTTGTGAGATGGGGTGCGACGGCGGGAGATTTTCGATGTGCGATGAGATGACGATGTAATTGTTGATGATTGATATCCTCTGTAAGGAAGCTCATAGTATAGTGAGGGCTTGTTTGCTGCCAAGCTTCACCTCTTTCGTGCAGGACGGATAGCAGCGGTTCTTCACCTGCCATAGAACATCACTTAAAAGCCACTACATATGCAATGCCGTAAACTTAGCCACCATCCCCAGTAAATCCAATGAACTTGAAACGTATATATCTTCCTTGCCTGTGCCAGTACAGCGATGATTGCGCGGTTGTGGATTCGACCGGCTCAAGATAACACTTCCCTGGAGTATTCGATGTTCCTCCATCCGACTCTTTCTTCAGCAAAGCAAATTGGAAAATATTTGGCATGGATTTGCAACAATTGACATGTGGAAAATTGGCTGCGAGCCCTGGATGATGTTACTGAAAATGGCATTTCCGGTACCAGAGACCAAGCCCGTCGGTGAAAGTCACGGCTCCAGGGTCGCAGTGTGGATCTAGGAGCGGGTTCGACCGAGACGAAGGAGATGAAGATATGGTCGGTGTGACAATCTGGGGTACCGCACGGGAGCGGCAAGAGGCCTAAGTGGCGTTCTGTGGGTCTTGTCGTGTGCCATTCTGCGGTAACTTCGTAAAGTGCATATCGAGGCCATTGCATCCAGGATTCGAGCTGATTGGATATTAAACCTTGACAGGGCAAGCGAGGACAGACGCAGTAGGGGGATGGTAGGCTGATGTCGAGTGTGAGCAATGCTGTTGCTGGAGGTAAAGCAGCTTCGGGATTTGAGAGCCATCTGGCAGTCTGACAGGGTGTTGCACTTGCTGCGATAGTACCGCGATGGAGAAATGCAGATCCGACCGGCTAACGTTACTCTCTACCAGAAAGCAGCGCCACCAAGCCAGCACGTGATGAGTAGCTTCTGAGGGAAGTCTCAAAGAGTATGGCCTTGGTGTTCGCGCGAGGGCAGTTTGGCTTGTTGTCTTCCTAATGAGACGCAGCTCCGATTCAAACATCGCGTATCCCAAGAGCAGTCGCTTGCATCGTCACTCCGGTAGGTGTTATCACCCAATCAGGAATACCATACCAATACTCATCGCCCTTACCAAGTACTTGATCCAGCCTGTCGAGTTTATCCTGATGCTCCTTGAGGGTTTGGAAGAACTTCAGCCCGACTTCATAGTTGTCCACGCGTAGTGAGTGAGTGTTCATGGTGAACTCCGTAGCGTCCAATGTGATAGTATGTCGTCCAATTTGCGTTTCCTTCCGTATAGATGTAGATGCATAGTGGGGTTTCACCTTTGGTGGACTCAGAATGGTGCCGTCGGGGTCGTTGATGTACTCTCTTGCTCTCATGTCAAAGCGCTCGACTGTCCCGCCACTGCTATATATCGGCTTATTCGCGGATTTATGGCTGGATCTAGGCTCAGGGGTATCATCATATATGGCCGGTGCGCTTGATATCGAGCTAGGATCAAGGATAGGAGTCTGATTCGAATTGGTGGAAACGGTACTAATTGAGGAACTCGTTTCGATGTTAATTCCAGATGTTGTTGCTGGCATGGATGGCCTTTGAGGCGTAGAAGTCGATGGCTCAGAAATAGTGCTTATATAGTCTGATGCTCGAGAACTGTTGGTCCGGCGGCTTGATTGGCGTGAAGATAGTACTTCCTCTGCAAATGTGTCGAGCGACGTTGTAAACCGAAGCAGTTCAGTCGGAGCAGACACAAAATCGATGGAGTGACCTTTGGGCTGGTTTTGCGTGATATTTCTCGTGGCAGCTCTTAACTGTCTTGTCCTCGTACGATGTACAGAGTTCTTTATCTTACTATCACAGGTCAATTCAACGGACAAAGGCAGTGACATTCGGACTTACATTGCTTGTTTGACTAAGTCAATTTTTTCTTCGATTTCCAGGCGCAAGTTCCGTTCAATCTCTGCACGGGACATAGGTCGTGTCAGAGCAATTCTTAGCATTCGCAACTCCTCATTGAGCTTTTGGATGCACATAAGATTGCTGAATCCGTTTATGCTCTCTCTTGCGACAGCCATATTCGCCCGGAGGTGTTTCACCGATGATGTGCTGAAGAACCACTCCAGGTACGCAATGAGCGTGTCTTGCCATGAACGATATCTTGGGTCATGCTTCAACGCCTCCACCTTCCGCAGAAGCTCGTGCAGCCCGGCCAATGTCTTCTTGATCCAGATGTTTAGAGATCCAATCGACGAGGATCTACCAATATGTGCTTCGCGCCCGTCAGCACATGCACGCAAAAAGCCCTCGCACAAGCCAGCAAAAATGACGGTATCATCTGCGAGCTCTGAGATATCTCGTCGCGAGCTTTTGATCTTCTTTATGGCCTTCCGAATTTTTTTACCGCATTGCGTAAGCTGGGTCGAAAGAGCTACCCCCCCTACGACTGCGCCGAAGATCTCCGCCATGATGGTAATAATTGGAAAGAATCAGTGGTGAAAACTCGAATGGTAGAGGAAGCTTTCGAAATAAGTTGAGGGCATCGAAAAATATAGGTGGTGATGACAGAAACATGTCTTGTGCACGTGTCGACCGGTGAACCAGTGGGTTTGGCGAGGCTGCAGACTACCAGCCAACCAACGGTTTTTGACCCTCACCACCAAGAATGCAGGCGCGTACGCGATCATAGCGGGGTCAACGGAACGTCGAATTGTCGCTTGTGTTGGAGAATCCCTAGAAACTTCCGTGTCGACTCTGCCTCGTAAAGAAATGCACGCCTGCGGTCCAATGCAGATCTAAATACGCCTGCGCCAAAGCCCTAGCCGCAGCTACCGTAGAACAGCCACGCATCACGAAGACCGAATCGGGAGCCCTCGAACAGCGGGGCAAGAGTCCGAAGACCAGAGCCCCTGGTATCTTCTTTGTCGAACGAGGCACGAGCCAGCGACGCCCCATCTCACGACCCAAGTAACTTGTCGCCGCCGGACGTTGATATCATAGACTATGCACCCAAGCCATTGCCCCGTCAACTGCCGCCCTATGACTATGCGCATAGTCAAAGGCCTTCACCAATCCCACTAAATGGCTCGCCGCAGCCATCACAACCAACACGTGAAAGATCTGATGACTACTGCCCCAAATATCAAACCTGCCCGGCGCCCACTTCTCCGGCACTCTCGCTGCGTACAGGCCTGCGCCGGCTATATACAACAGGCCCTGCAGAACGACCCAGTCAAGTCCGATGCTCTTGCGTAGATATTCCACACCGTAGATGTTGATGCCGTGCAGAACGGGAAACACTGCGGAGAGGCCCATAAGTACGAACATCAGTGCCCGAACGGGGCGGAGAGCCGGGGTGCGGAACTGTGGATGTGTGCAGGCAACGCTCGTGCCCGCTGCCAGTGTGGTGATCTTTACGTCTCATTAGCAACACTTCCCAACAACGTATGAGATGAACGCAAAGGTCAACATACCATCGTCCAATAAGTCCTCATCAGCCCCACCTCCTCCTGAAAAGCGTAGTACAATACCGGAATGAACGAGCCCCAGATCAGAATCACAATACCTAGGTAGTCGAGTTTGTTTCCCCAGATAGCAATTTCATGCGAGTGATTCTGAATCGTATGATACGTCCCACTCATGCCCAAACACGCCACCGCACCCGCAAAGAAGCAGCTGAACACGTACACATCTTCCTTACTGGCTGTTTCATACCGCGGCCTGAGCTCACCGTAGAGATAATAGGAGGTAACAAAGAAGGCCAGAGCGCCGAGGAGGTGCGTGTAGATGTTGACGGTTTCATTGTGGATGTAGAGCAACGATTTCCAGGACTTGGCGTAGGAGTTTGATTGCGGCCGGTAGCCGGAGGTTATGTAGGCATTGTCTTGTTGCCAGGGTGCGATCTCGTGCCAGAGGTATGTGAGTTTCTCTTCGATCTTCCTCTCGACACGTGTGGCTGCGTCTCCAAGGTCTTTCGTGGTATTTGCAGCGGTGTTTGTAGCGTTAGCTGCTACTTCTTTGGTTGCATCCATGTCTGATGGAGGCGGTTAGGAAGGTTAGTAAGTATTTGATATGCTGCCAAACCAAAGGCCCGAGGTTCGTAGATGTATATAAATCTACTTTACCATATGTTAGAAAATGTTGGGTTGTTGATGATCTTGCAACCCTAGATATTCTCGAAAGACATTCGATGTCAAGTGTGAGCTAGGCTGCATACGGTCTTTGTCGCGAGGCCCTGGCTGCATTCATATCGACCCTCATACGAACTGTGCCGCCGCTGAGGTATCAGGCCCGCTAAACATGTAGGTTTGTGACAATGGGTTTCGAGAGTGACGAGCGATACCCTTTGTATGTCGTCGTTGGTGAATAGACGTCATTCGGCTACGCCTGCCACGCGGTTGCAGTTGCCTTCCAATCTTCCTACACCCCACCTTCTCTCACACCTCACAACAACAACTATGCTTCGCGCTTTCCGCCGCTGAGATGGGTTGACCACGCACGACCTTGAGGCTTCGACATTAGCCTCCTCTATCGAACTCTCACTTCGAACGACCTCACGGCCACAATGAAGTCCTCCGACCCCATCCGCCCCAGCAGCCGTCGCGGCGCATCAGGCGCATGGAACCGCCTCAAGCCCGTCCGCGAAGACGTGCTAGAATCCTACGGACTGCCGAGTAAAGGGGAGACACGGTACATGCCTCCCCCGCCATCTCCCCTTCACGCCCAAGCTGGACACGACACTAACAACGCCCAGACTGAACGATTTCCGCACACAGGAAACCTTTCTAAACCGCATAACCGAGCGCTATATGAAGCTCTGCGCGCTCAACCGCTCAGACCTCGAATCGATCTTCGCGGCTGTAAATCTCAACCCTACGTCTACAAGCCTGAGCACCAATCTCTCGAGCTTGAGTCTCTCGAAACACGCGCCCCCCAAACCCGCACCGCTGTCTGGCGCAAACTCCCCCGCGCTGCTCGCAGCCTCCAAACTGTCCGCCCAAGAACTCAGCACGGTGTTGTCTGCGCTGCGGAAACTAAGGGAAGGCGTGACGGCGAGTGGACGCGCAGATGCATTCGCGCACCGAGCGTACTTCTTCACTATCCACGTCTCGATCCTGTGTAAAGACTGGGCGTCCTACTTGCCCGCTCTACATACCCTGCTGTACAGCTTGCACCCGCGGAACCCCCTCACGAGCAGTCAATTGCAAGAATACGCGGGCTACCAGATCCTCGACCAAGCGTGCCGACAAGGAGATCTGGCGGGGGCGAGGGAAACGAAAGTCAGGTTCGCGTATAAGGATAGGAGGGTAGAGGGGATATTGGGAGCGCTGGTGAGTGACAACTGGGTTCAGTTCTGGAGGTGCAAGAGGGGGGTCGATGGGTATCAGCGGGCGCTGTGTGGGTTTGCGGAGCAGGGGGTTCGGGTGAATGCGCTGAAAGTCATTGGGAAGAGTTATCTGGTGTGTGATAGGCGGTGGGTGGAGGATGCGACGGGGAAGGGGTGGGAGGGGTTGGTTGCTGATGGAGTGGGGTGGGAGCTGGAGGAGGGGAGGAGGGTTGTTGTCAGGAGGGTGAAGGCGAAGGGGTGAGCGCGGGCAAAGCGCACGGCATAGATGAAGTGTAGATGAAGGGTCGAAATGCGCAGATGAAGTGCCGAATGCATAGATGAAGCGCCGAATGCATAGATGAAGTGTCGAAAGGGTATCATTGGACGTATATGTAGCGCTTTTCAGTCCTCCATCTCCTCATCCTCATCCTGCTCGGCGCCCCCATCTTCATCATGCCACACATCGTCATCCATATCGTACTCGTCATAATCCATCTCGCTGTCCTCCTCGCCCTCCATCTCATCGTCGTCATCATCTCCTTCGGCAGCCCCACCGTTCGCCGCCTTCTCCGCCTTCTTCCTCTCGACATTCTCCTTCTGGATTCGTCTCCTCTCGGCCCTGACTGCGTTGCGCTGCGCCCACTTCTTCTCCATCGCCTGTTCCTCAGCCTTGGACTTCGTAATGAACTCGTGCCACATGGTCTTGCCCGAGCACACATCCTCCTCGACCTTTGTCAGCCTCAACTTCATCCTAGGCCCCAGCTCCACCAACTTCACAGCCCTCTTCTCGACCCTCGGCCCCTGAGCGACGGTGCGGCGCGCACTCTCGTCGCCAGCCGCTAGTCTCTCTTTCGCACGGCGGGAAAGAACGCGCTGTTTGACCGGCGCGCTAACCTCTACTTCGGCATCTGTGTCCGCCTCCGTATCGCTCGCGCTCGTGTACCCGCCCGCGCTCGGATCCAGCATATAATCCGCGACATCCTCCAGCTTCCCGAGATCCGGCAGACTCCTCCCCTTGGCCTTCTTCGCACCATGACCGATCAGTTTCTCGGCCGCGTGCAAACGCCTCAGGGCCTTGGGGAGGCCCGTGACTTTGGTTGTGATGGCGTAGTGTCGCAGGGAGATTGCCACGCTCCCGGTCTCAGGGCTGGGAGGCTCGCGGTGGAGGAGGAGGACGCGCTTGATTGTGTGTAGGGGTGTGGCGTGGGGTTGGATGGGTGGGAAGAGGCCTTGGAACATGTCTGTCACGAGCTTCTCCAGATGCTTTGGGGGCGCGGCGTCGCCCAGAGTTTCCCGCGCCGCGTCCGAGGTGAGGAAGTTGTTCATGACGAGGAGTGGGGGCGTTTGGAAGGCTGTGAGGTCGGTGCGTGGGTGTTTGAGCGACTTTGCGATGTCTTTGCACAGAGAGTACTTTTCGACGCGGAAGTGCAGGGTCGGGCCGTGCGGGGTGCGTGCGAGGCGCATGTTGGTGTTGCCGGATTCCGAGCGCGAGAAGAGGAGGAGGTGGGTTACGCCGAGGGGGCCGCACATGGTGGTGTAGTCTTTCAGTTTGTTTGCACGGCGTTCCTGTGAACATGTGAGCATGTGAGCATGGGAGGAGTCGCGGGGGGGGGGGGGTGAGCGACGGCAGTACCTTCAACCGCACGGCCGTGTCGGGCTCCATGACATGGCGCACATCCTGCACCAGCTGGCTCACTGCACCGCCGACTTCCTGCGCGCCAATGCGGATGACCATGCTCTTGGGCGCGCCGTCGTTCTTCTTCGCCATCTGCTTGTCCGCCGCCGACTGCTTCTTGCGCTGGCTGCTCCTTCCTGATCGCGCCATGTTGCCGGTGCGGAGTCGTGTCCTGCAGCAATTGTGTTCTGCAGCAGTTGTGTTCTGCAGCAGTTGTGTCGCTGCGAAGATCGCGGAGGTCCGCACTGGGGACTTTTTTCCGCGCCAAGACTGCGCGCCGATAAGATAAGGATTTTATTCTGAACCGCAGCGACGACCGAGGCTGCGCCTGCATCCACACGCACAATGTCGGCGTTGAAGAAGAGGAAGCTGAACACGTCGGCTGCTGCGGCGCCGCCGAGAGCGCAGCCTGCGGGGGCAGAGAAGCCGTCAAGGGCAGAGAAGCCGTCAAAGGCGACGAAGCCCGCGAAACCCGCGCCGCCCCCCGCGCCGGAGAGCAGCGACGATGAAGACGAGGAAGAGGAGGCCGGAGGAGAGGCGGCGGGAGAAGAGGGGACAACCGGAGACAAGCCGGCCGGCGATGCAGCACAAGACGAGGCGAAGAAGACGTTTGCCGACCTGGGCGTGCGCGAAGAGCTATGCGACGCCTGCGAGGCGCTCAAGTTCACCCACCCCACCCCCATCCAGTCGCAGGCCATTCCGCTGGCACTCGACGGCCGCGACGTTATCGGACTGGCCGAGACGGGGTCTGGAAAGACGGCAGCGTTCGTGCTGCCGATCCTGCAGGCGCTGCTCGAGAAGCCCCAGCCGCTGTTTGGCCTCATCCTGGCGCCCACCCGCGAGTTGGCGTACCAAATCTCGCAGCAGGTCGACGCCCTCGGCAGCATCATCAACGTCAAGTGCGCAACCCTAGTCGGTGGCATGGACATGGTCCCGCAGGCCATCGCCCTGTCAAAGCGGCCGCACATGGTCGTCGCCACACCCGGACGCCTGCTCGACCACCTCGAGAACACAAAAGGCTTCTCGCTGCGCTACCTCAAGTACATGGTTCTCGACGAAGCCGACCGCCTGCTCGACCTCGACTTCGGTCCCGTCCTCGACAAGATCCTGAAAGTCCTGCCCCGCGACGGACGCCACACCTACCTTTTCTCTGCCACCATGTCCTCCAAGGTCGAGTCCCTCCAGCGCGCCGCCCTGCAAAACCCCGTCCGCGTGTCCATCTCCAGCTCCAGCCACCAAGTCGTCTCCACCCTGCTGCAGCGCTACTTCTTCCTCCCCCACAAGCACAAAGATCTCTTCCTCATCCACCTGCTCAACGAGAACATCGGGCACCCCACCATAATCTTCACCCGCACCGTCAACGAAACGCAGCGCATCGCCGTCCTTCTGCGCACCCTCGGCTTCGGCGCCATCCCGCTGCACGGCCAACTCTCCCAGTCCGCGCGTCTCGGCGCACTCAGCAAGTTCAAGTCCAAATCGCGCGACATCCTCGTCGCCACCGACGTCGCCGCGCGCGGCCTGGACATCCCCTCTGTCGACCTCGTCATCAACCTGGACCTTCCTTCCGACAGCCAGACATACGTCCATCGTGTGGGCCGCACCGCGCGTGCCGGCAAGTCTGGGAAAGCCGTGTCCTTCGTGACGCAGTACGATGTCGAGATCTGGCTGAGGATTGAGAATGCGCTGGGCACGAAGATTGAAGAGGAGGTCGTGCCCAAGGACGAGGCGCTTGTCTACGCCGAGAGAGTGGGCGAGGCGCAGAGGGTCGCCGTTAGGGAGATGAAGTTGATCCACGAGCAGAGGGGGAAGGGGAGAGGAGGTGGCGGAGGAGGTGGGAGGGGAGGCATGAGGGGGAAGAGGGGCAGGGCCGATATGGATAGAGAGGAGGGTTGATAGAGTGCAGGTAGTGGTTCGGTATGGCGGAGCTGAGTATGATATCCCACGTCCAGATCTCGAGTTTGCACTGAGCTGTACACAACGTCCCAATCGCGTAATGCTTATATACGTATACGTCATTTTCGCAAATGCATTGCAGCTGACTGCTCACAACGTCGCTGGTATGAGAGAAGACCTCAACCCGAAAGGGCAGCCAGTACAGTATCCTCGTATCGATATCTACTGCTGGGTGAGTGCAGGCTTGCAAACCCATTGGCACCACTGGGTTCCAGCCAATCATCGTCCAGCAACGTTGTGGCTCTTATCCCGCATGCATTGGTTCTGCACAAGGTCAGACCCAGTGTTTGGCTGCCATTGACCTTGTTTCTCTGGTCCGGTCTGACCATGTGCTGCGCTGCGTGTACATCCCACCGGCACATTCCGACCACTGGTTCCTGGCTGGTTCTCGCTCACAGATGGTCTCACGGGCATGCCCGTGGGGGCTTTCGGATTTGTAAGTACCGTCGTGGGACAGAACTGAACATGCGCTACGATGCATCAGTGGGTCGGAAAACCTGATGAAGACGAGGATGCGATCAAGTCCACCCCTGCCGCAGCAAGCTCAAGCAGCACCACACCGGCATTGCTGCCTTTAATCGCGCAAATGTCAATCCAGCCATTCAGTTGAGTCTCATGATGATGATGTACATCTCGGTCTACCCACTCGCATGACTATCCGGTACAGCAGCGACTACGAAGACATGTCGATAGGATTGCACAGCGGCGACGAGGATGTCGATGAACAGAAGGGTAGCAAAACATACCTCATCACGCACTCAAGGAACCAATCGAGGAACCAATCGAGGAACCAATCGAGTTTCGACCTGTAGTACGTCTTTCTGGGCGTGTTTTGTACTGCGCTGCGGAGAGTAAGAGGGTTATGAATCCAGATGGTCCGGTGAGTGCTTGCCTTCCATCGTTTCTTGGCCTTTGATACCAGTGGCTTGAATTCTCTTGTGTGACGTCAGCTGATCTGTGGAGGCGTTCTCGGTCTTCTCGATGTTCTTCGAAGTCGCCTCAGCATATGGCAATGTCGGACTGTCGCTCGGCTACCCTACGAACTTGACGAGTCTCTGCGGTCCCTTCACTACGTTCAGCAAGCTTGTCACCTGCGCGATGGTGATTAGCAGAAGGCACAGAGGGCTACTGTATGCACTTGACCGCGCGATTACATTGCCTAGCGGTCGACATCAGAAATGGCGAGGCGAGGTACAGAGACGAGATTGGCTCTGACGAAAAGCAACACATGGGCGCCGCTAAGGACGGAAGATTCACGATTCCGTTGCTAGGAAGCGTAGAAGCCAGCAATGACGGTGTACACGTCTTCGTTTGCCCTAAAGATTGGGGAGTGAATACTCGAACCAAATCAGCGAAGCGTAACATCGCCCTGCACCGCCCGGTGATCACTGATATACACTCCTCCTATAACATTTCCCAGCACTGCATACCCCCTCACCTCCCACGTCTTCGTCGCATTCGGACCCAGCCAGATGAAGTCGATGCGGCTATTCGGCTCCTTTCCCGGCTCAAACCCACTGAAGGTTCCCTCTGGCCCGGATATTTGCTCCGGCGTGGCTAGAGTGCGCAGATCGCTGAGCAGGCCATCGGAGGCAGTGGTGCCGTACGCGTCGCCAGTGCCGGGTGAAGAGTTGAAGTCGCCGGTAAGTATAATGGGCAGATCAGAGCCGAACTGTGCTTGTACGGAGCGGATTGTTTCCAAGGCGACTTTGACACCCTCCACGCGTGCGGTCTGCGATGCGTTGTCGAGATGCGTGTTGGCTACGATGACTCTCTTGCCCGTTGCAACGATTGAGAAGACGCCGACGATAACGTACCGCCGTGAGCCGGCGCCGGGCCAGAAAGACGGCACATCAGGTGTGGGAGAAAGCCATTTCTGCGTGCTCGAGACCAGTTGGAGAACAGAGGGCTGGTACAGAATAGGTACGTATTCGCCGGCTTGCTTGCCGTCATCGCGGCCGGTTCCTAGATGGGCCCAGGAGGAGCCTAGACCCGCTTTGATGTCGAGTAACTGTTGGTGCAGGACTTCTTGCAAGCCGATGACGGGTATGTTGCTCGCTGAAGTGGCGGAGGCAGTCACATTCTTCAGCTGCGATATCACAAGAGGCCCGCGGATAGACCAGGGACGCTCGTAGGTTGACTCTGAGGCCGCGTAGCGGATGTTGAAAGTTATTGAGCGGAAGCCTTGCGAGGCGGCGCGTGAGTCCACTGCTGCAGCTGCGGCTGTGGAGGCCATTAGACTGAGTGCTGCGAAGATGTTGAACCGCATATTGTGTGTCCTGTTCGAAAAAGTGCAAGAACGATGGGCAATAACCGGACTCTAGGGTGAGGACAAAGGACGGCGGAATGTGCGGTTTTTGTAGACGCTACTTTGCGATCTCATGCCGTCATCACGACCCTGACTCAAGTATTGAGTGGACGTAGCTGCCACAGGGACAATTACACCTTCCATACTTAGTGTTAGGTGTTGTCGGTCGGTAGAGTGTCGCGAGATAGTAAGATGCAGACCCCTGCATGTGTAAGATCTCGCCTAATGAGAGGCGTTACACTACCACGTGGGTCTTGCCAAACAGGTTATCTTCCGAAGCCAAGATGAAACGTGGGGGAACGTTGGTTCCTCAACGGTCGCTTAAAGTTGGTCCCCGGCAACAGTGCTCGAATTGGAAGGTGCAGTCTTGAGGTTGAGTATCAGCGGAAGAACTTCGTAAAGTGGGTTCCGATCTTCACTTGAACTGAGTGCAAAGAGGTTGCGTCGTTGTCGTCACCATATACCGACTATCAGGCCTTTGTCCACTAGCCCACAACAGGTCTTGTTTCAAATCGACAAATGTTCGGATTGACTGTCGAGAATGCCTCATCAGCGTTCGCACCGCCAGCATTGTATACGCTACATCTTCGACGGCCAAAGACGGCCTTTCATGTCATTCAAGCCCCCGACGTACACACCATTAAATAACGTCACGGCGGTCAGTTTGAGCCGACAGTAACGCTTGCGCTGCCAGAATTCGGAGTCCCAGTCCTCGTACGCTAACTCGCCAACAACCTGCAGCACAATGTTCCCAGTCACCTTCGTTTCATGTCCGTCCTTGCTATAACAAAACTCACAGTCATCCGGCCGGAGGAACTTCAAGGGTTTGGAACAGAGGTACACAATCATCGAGGCATCGGAAGAAGGTCCAGTTTTGCCGAATAGTACATGATGTTGCGGTATCGGTTGGTCCGTACGGTGTCTGACTATACCCCTGATCGACCACCCTGGACTAGTGTGTTACAGGTCAGGTATATAATCGTCTCCTCCTAGCTAGACAGCAATTCAGCGTAGTGTTCAATCAACCCGATAGTCCTACGATATCGTTTACCGTAGCTATCAGTATTCTACAGCGGTCCACACCGCTACACATGAAGGTTCCGCCATGCCGACATGTAATGTACAAATCGCCAGAACAGACCGACGATGTCCTCTCCGTAGTCAACCTTGGACGATGAAACTTACGAGGCTATAGAGTCTGTCGCAAGTATGCATACATTTCGAATTGTAACTATGGGAGAATGTTGTCCAGAAGTCCAGTGTTTGTATAGAGGATGTACGGTCGGCCTTTGAAAGCTTCAGAAGCTCAATGTGACTTTGTAAACTGGGGCGAGGATGTATTAAAGTATCCGAGACTGGTCCTCCGAAGTGTAGGAGAGGCAACGATAGAGAGTGGTATATGTGAGTTTTGGTTCCTTTCGTAAAAAGATCTGAACGAGGCCCCTGTCATCTTCTAGCAATACGTGAAGCAGGCGCATCAATTTCGGCGTAGATAAAGACGCCATTAGGTAAATCGAGGCTCCGGTGTGGTGTAGAGGGTTTTCATTGTTGTGCGCGGCTGCAATGCTTGCGAGTCGGAGGATCTCAAGACGGCAGGAGTCTTGACTAGTCTGCGATGAAAGACGGCCAGACGGACAACGCCATGTCAAGAGGGATGACCCAGCGTTTTCAAAGGCGACGTTGATTCAGGCGCACGAGGCTGAGGTGTTGACAGGGCGTTGGGTGAGGCGCAGCTGCAGAATTCCATCGACCTAGCCACATGAAGGTCCGCACGAGCTCAAGACACGATCGTTTCCCGGTACAATGTTGGTATTCGATATTTGGGTATTGTACCGAGATGGCTCTTGGAGAGACCTTCAGTAGTTTGTTCGAATCTCCGGAAGGTTGTGTGAGATCTACATCAACGAACTCTGATAAGCGGTCGAGCTCAGGACAAACTCGATCGGAAAGTCAATGCTATCTGTCGTCACCTCAGCCACAGTCGCAGTTTGCGATGAGTTGTTTCTGGTATGAACTCTATGGCTGCTGCTGGGTCCTAGAAATTCGCATGCTAAAACGATCAAGCTAGGATGCGAACGATACCATTGAAAAAGAGTGTTGGAAAGATGGAGACGAATAGTATTCGAGGCTGAGGCTCAGCGGAAGCCGCCAACAGTGCGACGAAGTCAATCTTGCTTGTTCAGCCAGATCTCTCGCTTGTTTACCGACCTGCGCGTCGCGCCAGTTGCCCTACACCTTGATGTTCTTCAACGCCTGAGCATCACTCTCCTCAAATGGATACTCTGTCTCCGCGTCCCTAATCAGCTGCGCACACTTCTCGCTTCTCGGCGTGATGCTCGTCCTGTACGGAATTGGATGGCTGACGACACCGGGCTCGAATTTCAGTTCAGGTTCCACAACCTTGCCGTTCTCGACCAACTTCTCGATCTTGAACACCGACAGTGATTGCGCGATGGTGATGAATAGCGCGTTGTCAGCAACGTAACGACCTGGACAGACACGGCGACCGTAGCCAAAAGTCCAGGTGCGAGGATCGGGTTCGGGTGTCTCGCCGAGGAAGCGCTCAGGGCGGAAGGTCATTGGGTCAGCATAAACGGCTGGGTCGTGAGTGAACCACCTGTTTGATGATTAACATGCATCTTGAAGAGCAAGAAAGATGCTTACCAATTGTTCGGTAATATTAATGCACCCTTAGGAATTCTGTACCCGCGGATGACATCGTCTTGTGTAGCAGCATGCGGCAACGCCAGAGGCGCAACAGGGTGCCAGCGGTGAGTCTCCTTGACTACGGCCTCGATGTAAGGCAATCTACCCTTGTCGGTTGCATTTGGCAGACGGCTGCCGCCGATAACACGATCGAGCTCTTCCTGGGCCTTCTTCTGAACCTCAGGGAACACGGTCATGGCAAGAAAAAATGTCATCAAGGAGGAGACGGTAGTGTCGGCGCCACCAAGGTACATTGAAGATGCGGACCACTTGTGGATGCGTTCCATTCCTGCGTCTGTGCCGATATTCTCGAGAGCCTGGGAGAGGAAGGAGGTTTTATGCTTCTTCTCGCGCATTTGCTGCTTCACGAATTCGTAGGGCTGTTCTGTAGTCTGTTCCAACTGGTGGGCCATATCGCGGGCGATCTGCTTAAAACTGGCGCCTGGGAACCAATCGGGAAGATATCGCACTATATAAAGTCAGAATTGATTCCACAATCAAGAATCCCCGCTTTGCTCACAGAATGGCATAATGTCCACTGGCCACTTTCCGGCAATCGTTGCTTCGGAAAACTCGTGCATTGCCTTGCCAGCCATGTCAACAAGATGGTCCTTGCCCTTGGGCTCCGCAGTGTATCCATATGTGATCTTGAGAATGACGGCACCAGCCTCTTTCTTGATGTGGTCGAACAAATTTTCTGGCGAGTCGAGGACATTGAGCAGAAAGTGGACAGATTCCTCTTCCTGGGCGCGGTCGAAGAGCTTGAGAGATGTGTTACTACCAGCAACACTGGCGATGTTCTTTCGGTGAATCTTGAAGTTGTCCGTGTAGCCGCTGAACGCCAACGTGTTCTTCCATCCGATCCTGCATCGACCATCAGCGCAACGTCCCACCTTCTGTATTGAGCTTCAACGTACATGTCACTCGCAAAGACCAGATGAGGTCGAGCTTGGTGCTGCGTTCGGTCTCTGAGGAGCTCAAGTGCAATCTGCGCATCGTTGATTATGACAATTGTTTGACCAAGAACAGTAACAGAGCTGATCGGTCCGTATTCGTCTTTGTGCTTTAGCCAATGATGAGCTTCAAGTCCACCCTCTGGCTTCGGTAAGTCGTTGACATTTCCAAGCAAAGGAAGACCCTTGGGACCCGGCGGTAAAGGATGTTCATGTTTCTTCGAGTTGACAAGTTTGTTGATGAAGTACGCGGCGACAAAGCCAAATAGCAGAACGAGGCCGGTAGACGATACAAAAACCATGTTGACGACCCTGCCGAGTGGCTCAAGTGGAAGAGAGGAGGAAGAGTGAGAAAAAGACAAAGGTATAGCGTTTGCCCCTCGCCCATCGCATCATTTCCTGACTGCAGCGGGGACTCAGGACCCTCTGCGACAGTCGTGGATAGCATGTTCGCGTTTCGGCATGTTAGCTCGTCTGGGTTGTGATGCCGCGGTCTATCGCACCTAGCGGCGCTACAGCGGGTTGAAGCGAGCGTCCGGTCCTGGGGCCGCAATCCTCGCACAAGCTGCCGTTTGTCAACCAGAACATCGAGTGTTTAAAGTTTGACAACGGCCGCAAGCGCAAACGATCGATATCGCAAATCTCCTCTGGATTGTTATGACACCCGCAAATGTTCGAGCACCACTTTTCGCACCTGCAGCAAAAATACCTCCGGTCCCTGCATGGCTAGTCGCCTGGTCTAATGTAATGACCTCTCTATTGGGAAATACAGGGGTCGCTCGTGGACATGACATCCTGAGCTACAGGATTGATTAAATGAATCTAGGAACGAAATTCTGTATCGAAGGACTCCGGAATGGCCTTCCTGTTCGTCTCCTGTCGGGAGACAAGCTCTGGAGAAACTGCGCTGACGTTCCTCGTGATTGGAAAAGTGTACGCTTCTTGCGGTTCCGCACTCAATGCCTCCAGCAGCATTAGTCTCGGGGTTGCAAGGATGTGGGATCTGCTGAGAGGTACGCATAACGTAGGCCTTGCTATTGGCCGCTATCCAGGATCGGTCGTAGTGGCTCGAGCGAAGGATAGAAGAGAGGAAAATCCAGCATCCGAGGCCGCTATGAGGACCTGATTTTATTTTCTCAGGTAATGGAGTCGGTAGCCGAGATGTCGACAATGCTCTCAAAACCCTTCCAACTCATCTACCCTTCGACAACAAAGATACTGACAATTGCGACTGGGGTCTGAGGTCTGTTCTTGTCTTGAGATACGAATGTTCGACATAAAGAAGAGAGCGACGTGTCGAGTGTCCCTGATTCAGTCAGACCTAGAATCTGTTCGGGCCTAAACGGTGCGGCCCCGCCGCTATGGTCTCCGAGTCGTCCCTGCCGTGCCGCGTTGGGCGCCTCATTGCCGATCAGGGAGTTCGAAGACGAGGCGAGCAGTGGCGGGCATCACTCGCTGGAGTAAGAAACATTGATGTGGGCTTCATGCCACCTTTGTCATCCCTACCCCACTTTGCGGTTCAAAGATTCGCTGAGCCTGCCAGGCAATCTCAAATGTGCCTTCAAGTCATCTCGCAAACGAGAGTTGTATGAGTGTAAGAAGATAATAGACTAGCTCTTAGTCGAGTTCCGGAGTGTTTTGAGATTGAGCAGATGTAGATCCTGGAGCGCACACCATTCCATGAAGGCATGTTGACAAACGGAGAACGAGCGAAATTTGTCTGATAGGCCCGAATGGTACGCTCGTGCGCGAATTTCCCCGACTATGCTTCGCGCATTTCCTCTTTTGGTGCGTGAGTCTTGAACCTTCCGGGCACGAGACGACGGTCGACCTGAGAGCCAGTCATGACGGTCTACAAGCCGTTTCAGCGAGACCATTTCGGCTGTCAGTCCTTTTAGGGACTGGCAAAGTTGCATCTTTCTTGGAAAGGTCCGCTTCTGTCAATCACTCCTCGCATGAGTTCCATATGAGTTGCCGCGGAGCCAACGTTCGTCGTGGTCTACTATCAAACCATCTCTTCACCGATAACTGCGATGAAGCTATCGGGTGCCTTCTTCGTATTGACGCTACTCTCCGGTCAGGTTCTTGCACAGCAGGAGTTTCTGAACCGACTGCCTGAGTGTGCGGTATGTTTCTGCCCTTCGTGTGCAGCCTGTCGGGCAGTTATTAACGATATCCCAGGTTCAATGCTTCTCATCGAACACACCACAGTCATGCTCAGTCGATGACTTCAGCTGCCTTTGTGCAGATACGACTTTCATGATCAAATTTGCCGCTTGCAACGCCGGTGAATGCTCGGTAGTCTCCATGCTGCAAGCCACGAACAAGACATATGCAGCATGCGGCATCCCCGTTCGTGACAAGACAAAGACCTTGATTGGGCCTGTAGCATCCATTGGAGCACTGGCGTTGGTGATGGTGATATCGCGACTTATCGACCGAGCTGTGTCTGCACAAGCGCAACTTGGCTGGGATGATTTATTCATTGGTCTCTCAGGCGTAAGTGTTGAAGTGGAGCAGAGGACCCAGAAGTTCTTTCGTACTGACTCTGCTCACACAGCTCGTCTCCATCGGCATGAATGTGCCTGTCATCGTTGCTGCAGGTCTCGGATTTGGCAGAGACATGTGGAGCATTCCAGCCGACAACATTACCGAAAGTCTGAAGTGGCTGTACGTAGCCTACTTTATGTACATGCTTGCGGAAGCGTTGTGCCAGATATCAATCCTCGCCTTCTACCTTCGCATCATGGTCGAGCCCCGGTTGCGTACAGTCGTGTGGATCTTGCTATGTGTGGTCGCTTGCTTCGGCATTGCCAACATGTTCGCCATGATCTTTCAATGCACACCGATTCCGTTCTTCTGGGATGGTTGGAGGGGCGAAATGGCAGGCTTCTGCGGAGTCGACGTGCGATTGTAAGTGAAGTCCACACACATGGTTGAGGACGCTGCTGATGCGTCCAAACAGGTTTGGCTTCGCTCGAGGTGGGATAGAGATCTTCCTTGACCTGGCGATCTTGACATTGCCGCTGCCAATGCTTGCCAAACTCAACATGTCCCCAAAGAAAAAAGTCCAGATCATGGCGATGTTCTGCGTTGGATTCATTATCACCGTCGTAAGCTGTCTCCGATTGTGGTCATTCGTTCAATTCGCGCAGACGACAAATCCAACTTGTAGGTGACTTGCACATATGTTTCAAGTTGTCGCTGACATAGTATCTGCAGATGATAACGTCTCAGGCCTTTACTGGTGCGCAACCGAGTCGAATCTCTTCACCGTGGTCGCATGTATGCCAGCGTGGCATGCAATTTTCCACAAGGCGTTGCGAAAAGTACGAGGTATCAGTACCTATGCGAGTCGTGGTCAGTATGATAGTGAAGGCCCAAGCAAGGGCTCATACTTGCGGCACAACCCAGACCAACGCAAGAACTCCATGCCCTTCGGGGCGATCAAGAAGGCTACAGATGTCGCCATCTATCGAACCGAAAGATCGAGCTCAGACGTAGAGCTGGTAGACAACAGGCGGCCGGTATGATGCAAGCGACTTGTAACAGTAGAAGTTTTTGTCGTTGTTTAGCGCGGGAGTTTGGTGTTCCGAATTCACTGTAGATAAAGTAAGCTCTCTTTCTTTGATCTCTTGGGTTATTGTGGTCTTTGTCCGATGGTCGTGTGCGATACCGCGAATTGTGAGGTGGCTGCAAGGGTGAGGTGGAAGCGGAAGGAGAATGAACAGCGTGACCCATCATCTGCGCTAAAACACAGCATATTTGCCCTTTCCGCCATGATTACTGCAGCCTCTGTGCTGCTCTTTACACGTCACTTCTGACTCCTTGTAGTCATCTTCATCGCTTGGGAAATGTTTTCTACAATGTTGCTGCACTAGGACTGTGGTAACTCTGCTGTGGACTCTTGGCACCGCACACGCGCCAAAGCATTCTTCTGTTCCATTGACTTTGTCAAATCCAAAGCAAATAATGCGCTGGCGCATGCAAAAAACATTGCTTACTTGGTCAACTCCATATCTCCACCAGCGCGCGTCAAAGGAACAACATGCAAAGCGTCCGTCCGCAGCGCTGCGCAACTGCACTGCAAAAAATCTTACCTAAACCCTTGTCAGCATGGCACCTTCGTTCACTAAGTACACTATGAATGTTGTACTCACATGACCCTCAATGACTTGCTTACTCAGCGCACTTGTGTATATAACTGCTCGCTGTAGCTCTCTCAAATGAAAACAACCTTCTCCTCCATTTCCTCATCTATGGGTTGCTATGTCTCCATTACCACTGTTATGAGCCCGGTATTCCCGCAATAAGCTGCGATATTCAAACAAGATTGTTCATTCTTTGATCACAGTTCATATGTAGTTGTATACGTTGCTCTTGTGCCTTATCTTGTGTTGATGCGGACTTATCGTCGTTGCTTCATGCTATCTTCTGAGATCAGTTCTCACATCCTCTAAGGCTATACCTCACATCTTCTCTGTCGCCTAACAAGGCAGCTCTTTTAGCCAACATGGCGTCCTCAAGTGTACTGGACGACCAAGTTGTTAGTCGCGCAGCAATCACCCTTGAGAACCAGCAGCGCTCTCAACGGGCCGTAGTACGGTATGGTGTAGCTGATTGGAGTACTGTACAACCAAAAGTTGTGTACTGTACGTACTGTAAGGTGGAAAGGCGTCAAATACGGTGCCTTACAGTACATACGGTGCCGTAGTTTCCTGATCAAGCTTAGTCTATCTGCAATAGTGAATGGCCGGATGATTCCTCAGCACTCGCATCCTCACCACAACTTCCTTTTCCCGCGTCCTTGTCAGCTGTTGTCATGGTTTGGGGTCTCTTTATCACGGTCAGGGTGCTCCTGCCTGTTGAACCTCACCTGCCATGAGTGTGACTGCCACGTCACACTAGCGTTGTTTACAGCTACTCACCTATATATACTGTTCGTAGCTTCACTCAATACAGCCTCAGTACAATCTTCAACTTCTTCCTTTGCGTACAGTTCACTGAACTCCGACAGCTGTATTGATGAACTTCTCCAGCCGTTGTAACAAGCTACCCACTAGATGATGACGTAGCCGGTTCTTCTGGAGTTGTAGAGCTTCAATTGTTGAGGGTGAAAGTGTGTTTCGATCAGCTGTAATTGATTGCTTGGCCGAGCTAAAACTGTGCTCATACTCACAGCTGGTGGTGGGTATACTCAGGAGGTTAATAGCCATCTTGAATAGTATGGGATACCTGTGCTGGCCATGGTTCACTCACCACTGCCAAGGATCCTTCTCCAGTATATCGTGATATGTGGGATTGTCGTTTTGTAAGTCCTCCCATAGTGTGTTATAGTGATCGTTTAGCTCTGTAGTACGCTTCCACTTCTTACGGTTCTTGGCACCAACAAGCAGGTTCTAATCGACTATCATTACATCATCAAATCAGGTTGTAGTTAATGCCAGGCCATTGGTGGGAGGGACTTTTAACCCTAATCCATGTCTTTCAGGAGGAGTACGTTGATGACACCATTGCAGTATCTCAGAAACCGGTTCGCCAACTCCTTCCTCCCTCCCCCACTCAAAACCCCTACTCCTGATGGATAAGTCCAAAGTCCTTCCTCTGACTTGGTTAAACATTAAATATTGCAGGAGTCCCTTTGCTTTGAGGGATCCTCTGCACAGGACATCTGGAGGATGAATGACTAACTATGACGCTAAGGATTACATATAAGGGGTTGACCCTGCAGGTAGATGCCAGATAAAATCTGTCGCAGTACAGTAAGAGGTGTGTCACAGTACAGTAAGAGGCCATGTTACAGTACTGTATGAGGTTGAGTAAAAGGACTGACTGGACCAGACTCCTTCAAACAGTAACAGTAACATAACAGCTTCACAGTCAATTCTTCTTTCTGTTCATTCACAGTATATAAACACACAGCTTGAGAGTGAACTTCAATTCCATTGCCCGATACCTATGGTATTCAGAACCGTTATGAAATCAGATGAATTTGATGAGGTTTGCCGGTTGCCTTTCGGCACAGTCCTATGTTGCTGGCATGCGTGCTAACCAGGTGCAGCCCGTTACACTACACACCTGATCGACAGCAAAACAACGCTCCATAACGTCAAGATCTAAATTTTCTTAATTGGGTAGCAAGTAGTCAAGAGAAAAGGATAACTAATTGATAATGGGGCAAGCCATCTACTTATACTTCAGTGTTATATGTGTCATGTGACTGTTACGATCAAGAAGCAACTCACACAACAACACTGAACGAACAGGACAACGCAACGATACGAGAGGAGCCGAGGAACTGTATTATCGATCGACCCGAGCAGTGAGGCCGCGTCGGCGATACTCAGTATGATCATCACTCTCAGTTGAGCAACTCGAGCGACTCGAGCAGTTAGGACGCGTCAGCGATACTCAGTGTGATCATCAATCTCGGTCGAACCGAGCAGTGAGGCCGCGTCGGCGATACTCAGTATGATCATCAATCTCAGTCAAGCAACTCGAGCAGTTAGGCCGCGTCAGTATACTTGGTACAAGCAGTATACTTGATACCGAGCGATCTGAGCAAATCCTCCTGCTAAAGTATATGACAAGTAGACACGCTGCCCTTATGGCATTGTATTCAACCTCGTCAATCAACTTTGTTATTGGAATCTCACTCGCTCTCGAGCCAGACAGTATACTCTGTACTACTCACTGCAACCAGTCGCCACGGTCTTTGACTAGACGACTACCTGATTATTACGAAGGTTATTACAACCCGCCCGGATAGTCTACCCCTGACCATCCGAGCTTTGCTTAGGTGACTGTCAACCCCTACGGACTCCCTGTATCTCCGCTTATCCCCGAGCGCCAATCGAATAGTGTCTACGAGCTTTGCTTAAGGCACGACTTCAACAGTGAACCTCTTTAAAAAGTTTCTCTTAGGAGAAAATTGTCACTAACAGACGATATTGCCAGGTGCACTTCATTGAGGCAGCTCCTAACTTGTCTCAGTACTTTGTTTTTGCTGCTACAATTTCACAAGTAAATGAGGCTACGTCAACTGGCTCACAACCAAGGATCAAACCTGGTCCTACTTGAATTCATCGCAATGACCTTCCTCCACCGCATCACTGGAAGGAGCTGAAGCGTCACGCACACAGGAAGCGGTTTGAGGCTGCTGCTGAGGCTGAATTCAACAGCTGCTGGAAGAAGGGCACTGTTACGATCCACTGCAGCCTAGCAGCACTATGACTTTTGGGACCACTAGAGTTACTCTCCCAAAGCAAGTAAACAGAGAGAGCACGCAAACCATGATCTCCTGCTCTCCTGCTTTCTTTCACCCTGTACTACTCATTGTTACCCAGTTATAAATGTAAGGGGCAGACCTGAGGGTAGGTGCCAGAACAAATCAGATGAATTTGGTGAAGTTTGCCAGCTGGCTGCCAACAGCGTTTGTGCTGCCGGCTGTGTGCTTTTGTTCGGCCGTACTTAGCTCCGAGGCTCGCGCTAGTTGAAGCTCTAACCGGGCTCAGCCTGTTACATCTAACTATGTACTAGGGTTGGGATCATAAAGTTAGTGTTAGTAATGTTAGTTTGGATGCGCTGAAGTGTTCGAATCTTGCGCCTGGGGAGGCGGAGAGTGCAGTTGACTTTGAGAAGTGGTTTCTGTGAAGGGGCCGATCATCTCTGAGGAAGGCGCATGCTTCAGGGTAATTCTTGAATGGGGCCAAATGACCACGTTATTTGCTTTCGCCAGGAAACAATATAATTTCCTGAGTTTTTCCCCACAATATTCTGATCCAATCTACACAGAGCTTCTGTGTCTGTACCTTCCTATTCCGCACTATTGCTATTTAATCAGGGACACAAACACCAGACCAGACGCTGTGACAGTTGTCTGCGCGTAACCTTGAGATAGTCTGTGAACCTGTTGTGTTGATTATGATTGCTCGTAACTTAGGCTATATAGTGATAAGGCTGAAGGGCGTCATGTCCTCCTATCCCAGCCGCTAGTGTGACGCTACTAGTGGCATGCGCTAGGAATCGGTGCCCACAGTTCATGCTCTCCCACAGAGATCCTTTGTTATGGACAGTCAACTGTCAGTCAGGTCTTTGCCGCGCAACTCCACTATGCGCAACCTGTCTCGTTGTCGATCGCGTATGGCGCGGTACTCCGGTCAAAGCACACCTTTGGCCCCCAACTTTTGCTCAGCAAGGTCAGGACCAGCGTTTGGCTAACAAATCGAACCGTCCGCCAAGTCAACACTGCATGTGCAATCATACCACACGAGAACGGATGCACAAGGTCGAGAGGCATTGTCTCAGCCTGATAAGGGCAAGTGCTGACGCCTGGCGGCCACCTATAAGTGCAAAGAGTCTACATTTCACAGGGCTGCTGATGAACTCCCAAGGACCTCCAGCCTTACAGAACAAAACACGAGACGAAACGGGCAACATATATCTATATTGAACCCGGCTTGCGACCTACTACCGTCGAGCAACTTAGCGCCATGGTTCTTCAGCCCGACTGGCCTGTCAAAGATATCTATACAGGCTTCTGGATCAATCGGTCCCGTGGCAAATTTTACGCTGCGACCCTTACGGTTGATCAACGCTTATGGAACTTAATTGTTGCTTTCATCGCTTTGTTTGTCGGCGCGGCAGCACGGAGCATTTGGAAGCTAATCCGCTTCGCACTTCATTATAAATTTTCCAGTCAGACTACCAGAGATGGTGTTCACAATCAGCGGCAAGCCGTGTTGCGTAACACACCTCTTGCGACCGATGCAGCCATACAGCTGCTAGAGGTTAGCTACGTCTGGCGCCATCGAGCTCAAGAAGGCACGGCAAGAACACTCATTCTCTTCAGCTTGGCCCTTGCCATCTCAGTGTCTACTACTGCAGCGGGTAAGTTGCCACTCAGCTCCAATGATGGAATGATGTCTCATCTCATCCCAGGTATCTTTTCATCGAGAATCCTAACTACCTCCACCAACGACGTCCTAATTATTAGTCCAAACTGTGGTGCTCTATTATCCGGCCCTTCTGTTGAATACAATGTTTGGCGCTCACGCTGGGCGAAGTACACTACCCAAAAGATGGTAGAGGATCTCTCTTACGCAACACGATGCTATGGCAGTCAAGATCCTGGATATTGTGACAAATTTGCCCAGGCAGACTTGCCGTATACTATTTACAGAAACGCATCTTGCCCTTTCGCACCAGAGCTGTGTCAATCAAGTTTTGGAAATCTGCTTCTTGACGCTGGTAACATCGACTCGGTACGTCACCTTGGGTTGAACGCCGGTCCTTCCTTCTCCCTACGTTATCGCACTCACTGCCCACCACTTAAGACTATGAGCGGTGAGGTGGTGATCAGTTCGTCGGGAGGCTCGGGAAACTACTCGTTTTACAACTTCACGCAACAGTATCTGGTCCCGACCCTCGGTTCATGGTATGGACAGGCCAACATCAGTGAAAAGGGAGACTACAAGATCTCGTACGTTGATATTCTATTGAACAATATCACTCCATCTGACGGGTTGCTCAGCACAATTCACTAATCGATATGCAGATATCAACTATCGGGAGCGGGAAGAGGTATGGAGTTCAGCTCTCGGCTCATGCAGTCTCATGATCAGGTTAGTCTGGTCTTCCTGGACGCTTCCGAGATTGTGTATGTGAACAAGACCGATGACCCGTGGTTCTCGGCTACAACTCCAGCTTATTTGTTCTCCAGCGAATGGTTGGGGGATGGTAACACTGGCTTTTACGCAGATGATTATGCTGGCGTTCTAGGATGTGCAACTCAGCGACAAATTTGCAATCCTAGCTTACCCGGTCCCACTAGCTGCGTAGACACTACTGGCAGCAGATGGTATGGAACTCGAGAGCTGAATGAGCTCCTTAAAAAGGCGTGGCCAAACCCTGAGGATGTTTACAAGATCTATTCGATCACGTCCGCACAAAATGGCCTGGATTTAGAAGCGTCAGAATCGTTCTATAATCACAAAGGAGCATCGCCACTTTTAGCACGCAATACTTTGCAAGGCTGGATCAACGTTACAGCTCCAGCGCATTGCCCACGAGAACCTTGGGTTGGGTACTTGGAAAAGAACAGATGAGCAAATCCCGGTGACCAATAAGGGCGATATCCTCGGGGTGTTTGACACTACCGACCGGAAACATGCTCGTCTGGTGAAGCCAAATACGGAGATGGAGGACATCAAGGTCGATGACGAAACCCCAGGGAACATTTTCCAGGATGTTGAAAATTCGGCCGCGGAAGGTGGAGTTGCAGACGGTGAAGTTGCAGCATCTGAAGTCGCGGATGGTGGAATTTAGGCTGGCAACCTTTCAGGTGCCAGGGCGCAGTACCTCCGGATAACAAGCAACGACCATGCTTCGACCTGGTAATTTTGTCAGCTCTGATGAATTACATACGAGCTTTAGGCATCGTGGCTTCGCCTTGAGATGCTGACAATACTATCGTATGTTGATCGTGATAAGTTTTGTTGGCAAGGTATGGTGGAAATTGCGTTGAGCATGCAAGCAACGATTGGAACGTCGACCATGATTAGGGTTATGAAGGGGCAAATGGGGGTCAGGGTTAGGAAAAAAGTTGTGGATATTTTCATTTAGTATTGTGGACCAAAGCTCTAGGAGTTCAGATCTGCCCTTATCTTGTCAATAGGTGTTGTGGTTGTGGAGTTATTGTTGTTTAAAGTGTATGGGTTGGTAGTCAATAGCCCAAACAAGTAAGGCTTGTTATCCAGGCGCACTAACCCAAAACGTATTTAATCAGCAATCCAACCAACACCGCACATTGCACCTGCGCCTGCACTCAATAACAGTCACTGAGGCTGGCAATACATTGTTTGAGTTAGTAAAAGACATGTAGCATCTTGAGGAGCATATATTTCTTGACTGTGGGCCATGTCTTGGGTTATGACAGAGAATGTGCTTTTGGTGGAATCCACTAACCTAAAACGTATTTAATCAGCAATCCAACCAACACCGCACATTGCACCTGCACCTGCACTTAATAATAGTCACTGAGGCTGGCAATACATTGTTTGAGTTAGTACAAGACATGTAGCATCTTGAGGAGCATATACTTCTTGACTGTAGGCAGTGTCTTGGGTTATAACTGAGAAGGTGCTTTTGATAGAACCCACTAACCCAAAAGGTATTTAATCAGCAATCTAACCAAAACACATCTCAGAGATGTTCAAT